TTCAGATTCACTGTAAATTTTGGGAAATTACTACTTTTCCTTTCGTTAATAAATGGATTTTCGCTTTCCACGGAGAGAGTTGGGCTGGCGGAGAAGGTCTTGACTTGGGGAATGATGATAAAAGAAAAAAAGGAAGAAAAAAAAAGAGTTTCTTCTTGAAAGATATTTTACACACTATCAAAGGGAAATGGAGTTGAGTTTCTGAGTTCCCAAGGTTGAGGCTCACTTTGCATGCAAAGCTATTCACACTTGTCTATTTACAACAAATTCTTTTCCAATTGCAATGCGGCACACGAGTGAGGGGTTGGGGGTGGGGGAGGCAATTATGTGAAGTCTGCAAACAGGTTGCTCTACAGCGCTGTGTATCTATTTGTCATTTCTTTTGGGTAATTAGGGGCGCTTCCGCCGGTGAGGGGTGGGGCAGTGGGGGGCTTTGCTATTGTAATCTCCTGCTTTTTGCTGCAGGCAGCAGAAGACTTTACTATCAGAGCACAGCTGTTTGTCTCCAGCATACAGGGGAAGCTTGGAATTCTTTATTATTTTCCATAAATTACTCGCACGTTGTTTTCTTTAAACTGGCCTCAGCGCCAAAGTGTCACATGGATTTATCTGGCAAAAATAAGAGCGCGCTCGCGAGATCGCCTTTGCGCTTGGTTTTCTGTCTGCTTGTTATGAGCTGCGCTTTCGACAAGTGGCTCCGGTGGGGCCGGCGTCTTCGCGACGGGGCTTGTCGACATATTATATTATTCTGATACAATCCCTTCTTTATTTTACGGTTAAAATCCGGCTGGAGAGTGAGGCGGTACAACCAGGAGAGCCGCCTCGACCTCGCTGCGGGCGCACGACAAGTCATCTGTCTTTTCCTGATCTCCGGTTTCAAGTTACCAGAGGGGGGTGGCGGTGGGGTTTGGCGGCCTTACAGCTAAAGACATTAGTCACCGTAAAAAGCAGGGCATAGCTCACTCAACGTGCCAGACATAGCCAGCTCCCAGGATCTCTTAATAAAGTCTCTTTTTCCAATGGACGGCACAATTCCGATTGATTTCTACTGTATCCAAAAAATGGATCTGGATTGTGTGACTTTGTGATGAAGAAAATGGCAGAGTGAGACACACTACAAGGCCAAGGTTAACAAAAGGTTGGGGTAACCCAGTTTGCAATCGCAACTGCACGTGCAACGGAAATCCTACCAAAACTCAAACTGGACTGACTCTACCACAATCTCCAACAACCTCTCTATAGCATGGAAGAAGCAAGACCACTTGCAACCGTGCCGCGTCACAAAGCCGGATTAAGGATATAAAAACTTGCCAACATGAAATTAGATGACAGGGTGCGAGCAGGTTTACTTGTTAAGAGAAAACCCCCCAAAAAATAGAGGAGGCAAGCCTATGAGCGTAGAATTAGGTCATAAATGCGCGTGAGCAAGCATGACTTTTATAACGCCCCTCCCCCAAAAAAATGAAATGAAAAGAATGTCATTTGTTTGGGGATCAACACGATCTGCCACAGAAGCAACAAACCAATTGCAACATCCTACAATGTGCCATTTAAGTCTCTTGACATCTCCCTGAAACCGCTGCGCTTTTGTGCACAATCAATACACTGAGTTGCATATTTTGTAGCTCCATTTCTTCATTTGACAAAGTTAGCTGCTTGCGTGACAATCCGGCAAAGATTTTACAGGCAAACATTTTGGGGAAATGGCAAGCAAGACTTCCATCATGATTGAATTTCACAATTGATGGGTGGCATCATGCAAGCGCTCCAGAGGCTAACTGTATAAAATCTAAAAATGCAATTTTTCCTGATTATGTCTCCATTTTTCTGGGAGGGTTTGTTTACACGGTCACTTCTTGAAATGCAGATCTAGCAAAAACTTTTTTTAACTGTCATAACACCCCCAAAGTTTTTTGTTTCCTTTTAGGTACATCCCTAAAACGGCTTGATACAAAGAAGAGTCATCACGCTTTTCGAAACAACAAAAAAAGCCACCCAGGACGCAAGTGTTTCTGCTCACTGTCACAAGTTAATAAAGCACTTCCTGTTCTTTGGTGAGAGAGGAGGAGGGGGTTGATTTAGTCGCCCGGTGTAAAAAGCCTGCGCGTCCGTCCATCATGCATCCATCCACGAGGTCCGAAAGGCAGCAGGACGTGACCCCCCCCCCAGCAGTGAGGAGCGCAAACACTCGCCGGGATCAAAGCCGAGGAAGCAGCAGCGGGCGTCACCTGACCTGAATTCAATTAAAGCTTTACAGGCGGATCAGAAGGGGAGGTGGGGGCAGGTCACGAAGCTCAACGCCGTCTCCGACTAAACTGAGGTTGAGATGGAGGAAGATGAAACATTGAACGCCAGCCCCCCCCCCCTTCTTCCTCCTTCCCTCCCTCTCAAGCTCAATAATTCTCCCGCATACGCGCATACACAGAGCCCGCAGGTCGCGTTGGCTGCCGCAGCCTGTGGGCAAATGTGATTTTAATGAGCCCCTGCCGAATGGACGCGAGGCCCACATTCTCACGCCAGACCGCCGGCTCCAGGCGGCCTGGGCATTTTTTCTGCTGGCCACTTCACAGCGTGGCGTCGGACTTAAGTCGTATGTGTGTGCGGAATGGAGACATTTGCAGATGTACGGTACATTCTACGTGCCAGACACAAGAGCGCTTCGAGGGAGGTGTCAAGGAACTCAAAAGGGGACACACATCATGAAAACTGCACTTTTTAATAACCTCGATGCAAACAGTCGGCGTCTCTGAAGTGCCTGCCCGACCGTCAAGTGTGAAACTTTGCCTTGCCAGAATGTTCGGGTAACAGCGGGGCTAATTGTGTCCAATGACGACATTGGCAGACGGAACAAGGGCTGTTCACTGTGCCAGCAACAGGAGCGGTTTCTGGGAGATGTTGCAATATTAAAGGGGACATTCTGGGTGGAAAAAAAAAAAAAAAACAAAAGGCGTGGAGACAAATAGTCGGGTCTCGGGAGACCTTGGCCGCACATCAAGCGGGAAATTAGACAACCGAGCAAACCTCTTATGCGCTGCGTATTTACCGAAATGTTTTTGCAGGTCAAATTTCGGGTGAATTGTTATGTAACAGTGCAGCTCATCCTGACAAATGCGGCGGTTGTATTCATCGTGACAGAAACAGGAGAAGTTTGCGGACGGTGCCAGTAAACTTATCGCAAAACATACTTTTTTCCTTTAACATACTCGGGTTTGGGGCGCGCCTGCCATCCCATCAATGACAACAACAGTGGTGCCGATGGACATAATTTCACCACCGCGCCAAGCTTCTCCTCACATGACTTGAAGGCTAGGCTGGGCTAAGAAACTGCCACTTTCAAGTCATGGACGAGCAGCACCACTGAATGCATAGAATGGCGTTAGCTAGCATGAGAAGCGTTCAGAAAAGTCATCATTGCAACGCCCCAACTCCAGCCATGTTGTCATGTTCTCCTCGTGCCTGCAGGGGTTGTCTCCAATTTCCTTCCACATTCCGAAAACATGCAGGTGAGGTCGATGGAGCACTCTAAATTATCCCGAGGTGTGATTGTGAGTGTGACTCGTTGTTTGTTGATGTGTGCCCTGCGATTGACTGGCAAGCAGTTGCTGCCCCAAGACAGCTCAGATAGGCTCCAGCGCACTTGCGACCCTCGTGAGGATAAGCGGATCAGATAATGGATGGATGGATGGACGTTTTAAATTGTGAAAATAATTCACAATACTGTGTGTCTCCTTCAACACATAAAGCCAGGTTTGGTTATTATATTTTGGGTAGAGTAAACACAGCTGCAGAGGTAGGCCAATGCATGATCCATATTGAGTCGTGCACGGATGGCAAAAAGGGAGAGGAATGTGTGAGGTCAGAGCCATTCCTCAGGCAGGAGTTGAGCTTTTTAATGCATTCAAGGGCATCCCGATAAGCGACTCCTATTTTCCACAACTTTCAATATAGAAAACATGCTATTCGTTCATTGGAGTTTTGAGGACAAAGGCCTAAAGACTGAGAGGGTTTTATTCTGAGTCCTTTCCTGATTAAAACAAATGACTGAAAATACTGTAATCTGCATGTCAGGCCATTGGCATATAAAGGGGGTTAGAATCATACGTTGCACTTGTGGGAGTAACTTTTCTCCTCGAGATGCAATAGCTGTGTAGAAAATGTACAATCAATGCGATCAGTATCGGAATCGATATCGGCCGATCTCACTCACGGAGGATCTGTATCACCCCCAATAACTGCTGATAGATGTCACAAGATGGCAGCAAAGAATTCAAGTAAATGAAGCTTCTCTAGGTACGTTCACGTACGGTCGGTCCAAGGCACCAAGATACCACAAGATGGTGCCAAAGCACCAATTCTAATGCATTTTCACACTGCACTTAGCAGGGTACAGCGCCGTCGATTAACCCTTTCATTGTGCACGAACATCGCATCTTGGTGCGGCGGGATGTGCAAGGCAGGCATTTACTTGTGCAGTGCCTCCCATTGGATAGAAATGACGAGGGCGGCATCGAAAGTACGATCCCGGAAAAGGAGGAAAATTTCTACATGCTACATTCTTGCTCTGCATATTTCTGCCGTGACGAGAACTGCAAAATAATTTTGAGTGTCAACAGCAGCTCAATCAATGTACCAGGATGCGTTTGTATGTATTCACACCTGCATAAAAGCAGCACGGACCACCGTGAGGAACAAACCCTGGTTAGTTTAACCAAACACTGCAGGTGCGAATGAGAGTAGCGATAAATGTATTTTTTAGAATGTGACTTTGTTTTAATTTATTGATTGGATATATTAAATGTTTTAAAATGTTCTCAACGAACTATACATTATAAAAATAACTAGAGTAGACGCGTATTTACCGTGTCGTTTGATTTCTTCACTTGTTGCGAGAACGAAGGTAGTTCCAGACCACGCGCAGGGCGGAGTGATATAACACCGCGTGAGAAAAGCACGAGGGTAGTGCGCGGCGGAGGCAGCGAGCGAGGGAAAGTGGTGACGAGTCAGAGGGTGAGAGAGACCGCTCGGAGCTTCCACCAGATGGATGTTCGGCGAGTTAGTGTGAGCTCGATGCACAGCCATGCCGACATTTGGACTGCTTCAAGTACCCAGTAAACCTCCCAAGCTTCGGGATTAATTTGTATTTCTTCGAGGGGAAAGAAAAAAAAGGTACGTGACGTGTTCTTGTCCCGAAGGAGTCCCGTTCCGTGCGCCATAAAGTGGAGAAAAGTTGCGCGTTCGGTCGCCTTTTATGGTTTCGCGAACAAAATCACATCGCTGTTGAGTTGAGACTAAGCATTGAGTAAAAGTCAATCTATGTATTTATTTTAAAGTGTCGAGTGGGGTTTCATCGTTCGTTGTTTCAAAAAAAAAAGATCGGTTTTTTTCCATACGATTGGAACAAATTCCTCGCTGGGCTTGTTGCATGAGGTTGATGTTTAGAGTTGGGGGATGGGAATTCAAACTTACTGTTCTTCAAGCGCTTCACTTTTGACATCAACTTAAAAAGCATATTTTAAAACGAGGAAAAACGTTTATCTCCCCAATTCGTGTCCATGAGGAAAAAAAAGAGATTTTTGTTCTCCTTATTTAAACTCAGATATTTAAAGTTTTTTCCCCCCTTATATCCGCTCACAATGGACGCCCACGAGCAGCAGATGGTTCTTTTGTACCTGCAGGCTATGTGGTTTCTCATCTAAGGTGAACACAGATTATCCACACGAGAAAGCAATTTACAATAGTAAATAGTGTGCGGGATTTCAAGATATCTCATTTCTCCTGTAATGATAATTGCTGCTGGCATTTTATGAGCCCGGGAACTACTTTCATGACTGCACAGGGACAGTTAGATAGCGGAATTTCTTTATCACCGTCGCATAATTGATGGAGAGGAATACGTCTGCGAAATGGAATACATTTGCATAATGGGATCTGTGCGCATCGATGGTTTATGGACAATGTGGAGCGCGCGCACGTTAAGCGAGTGTATGCATAAATGAGCCTACGAGTCATTCTGCCCCCCCCCCCCACACACACACGCGCGCGCGCACACACACTCAAGGAACCGATGTGATGTGATAGCTTTTCACAGCACATGTCACACCGTTTATGAAGTGCACATTGCTGAGGAAATGGGATTTTCACACAGCATTGAGGAGTTGAGGCAAAACGCTGTGACATTCACATCTGGATATTATGGATGGTATTGTCGCGTTTTTTGCTCAAACAAACACGTAGAACGGGTGTGGGGTGGAAGTTTTATTTTGCATTAAAAAAAACAACAACAACAACAACAACAATCGGGACCCCAACGCACTCTATGCACAGAAATATTAAAAGGCAGCACCCAAAATGGATTTGTGTGCATGAAAACTATGTGCTTTCACACATGTCGTTCACTTAGGTTGGAATCCGTCCAGAGGTGTAGAAACAGTGTCCTGCCCCGTTCAGTTTGTGTTCAGTTTAAGAAAAAAAAAATCCAAGCACAGTTATATGAGTAGCAATGAAATGAGTCTTCACACCCCCGTTTTCATAAAATACCTTCCAAGTGGTTGTCAATATTTTATGCCACATTCAGCTGGCGTAGGTTCGGTTTTGCTCTTCTGTCACGACAATGTTTCCCAGGCTTTTTTGAATGATTACATGTATATATATATATATATATATATATATAATTTTCAAAATTGGAAACTTTCTGTGGGAATTTGTGGGAATTAAAGGTACTTAGGTTTAAACCATGAACTTACAAAATTCAAGGTTTCTCTTAATGGGGAACTAAAAATATATTTTAGCATGAGTCTGACGAAAACAGCCAGATTTCACTGAAGTGCAATAGCTTTTACTTACGAGCCGTTGCTTAGGCCACATTTTTTTTTTTTTTTTTTTGTCCTGCAAGGCTAAATGTGGGGCACGTGGTTCAAGCTCTGGATACGCCACTGTTCAGCTAATGCCCCTGTACTGTCTACATGATGAGGATTCTGGAGCCGATCAGCAAGTGAACAGAAAAAAAAAAGATCACTGACCCAATCAGAAGATGGACCAATCTATTTAAAAAAAAACATGTTCATTTACTGCACAGTCGACCCCGCCATTTGCAGGGGATTACCCCACGAACAGCCAAAAACTGCACATAACTGACGCTCGGTGAAATGCATGGGGAAAAAAATAACAATTACACTCTAAAAATTCTGATAAACAATCAATACACAGAAAATGAGGGTCGAAACCCACCCCTCCCTAAAATAAATAAATAAATAAATATAATATTGGGGAAAAAAAGTGAAAAAGATTTGACTGTATATGCTGAGATTATTAACGATGGTAGCCCAGAACGTCCCTGGAATGAACAAGATTGTGTTTGCGGATACAATCAATGACGTCATTGATCAATCGGCAAATTATGACATTGTAACCAATGATCGATTTTGCACAAAATGCACAATGTCTTCCAATCCGATCCAACCGATCAGATCTGTGTAAATGATACTCTTTATTGCATGGATGTCTGCTTATGAGGCAAAAATACATTTATATAAACGCTTATATGGATGTTCCCGTTTGTGTAGGCGTTGCGGCAGCGGCGAAAAAGGTACGATGACGGGACGGCAGGCGCTTTCGCTGGCCTCGCTGCTCCTGCAGCTGGTCTGGACGGCCGGGGCGGCCTCCCTGCACTTCACGCAGCCCGTTTACAACGGCACCATCTACGAGAACTCCGCCGCCAAGACCTACCTCGAGAGCCACATCAAGATGGGGATCTACGTCACCGACCCCGCCTGGGAGATACGCTACAAAATCATCTCCGGGGATAACGAGAACTTGTTCAAGGCCGAGGACTACCTGCTGGGAGATTTTAGCTTTTTGCGCATTAGAACCAAAGGGGGCAGCACAGCTATCCTCAACCGGGAGGTTCGAGACCACTACGTGCTGACTGTGAAAGCGTCCGAGAGGGGCACCGACGCGGAGTGCCGCGCCCAGGTCAGAGTGCAGGTCCTGGACACCAATGATTTGAGGCCGCTGTTCTCGCCGACCTCGTACAGCATCTCGCTACCCGAAAACACGGCCATACGCGGCAGCGTGGCCAAGGTGACGGCGACGGACGCCGACATCGGTACGAATGGGGAGTACTATTACAGTTTCCGCGAGTGGACGGACATGTTCGCGGTGCACCCGACCAGCGGCGTGGTGACGCTCACCGGCCGGCTGGACTACTCTGAGACCAAGCTGTATGAGTTAGAGATCCTGGCAGTGGACCGCGGCATGAAGCTTTACGGAAGCAGCGGCTTCAGCAGCACGGCCAGGCTGACGGTACGGGTGGAGCAGGCCAATGAGAACGCACCCGTCGTCACCGCCGTCACCCTGACGCCCTCGGACGCCAACCCCGACCCCACGTACGCCATTGTGACGGTGGAGGACAGCGACCTGGGACCCAACGGGGAGATCGCGTCGCTTAGTATTGTCGCCGGCGACCCGCTCCAGCAGTTTAGGGCTGTGAGGACCAGCCCGGGGAGCAAGGAGTATAAAATAAAAGCGGTGAAGAACGTGGACTGGGAGAGCCAGCCTTTTGGGTATAATCTCACTCTGCAGGCAAAGGACAAGGGAAGCCCGCCTCAGTTTTCCTCAGCCAAACTGGTGCATGTCACTTCCCCTCAGTTCAAAACGGGACCCCCTGTCTTTGAAAAGGCCGTTTACAGAGTCAACCTGAGCGAATTTGCCCCCGTTCACACGCCTGTCGTCATGGTGACTGCTCTCCCAAAGCACCCTCGGCTCAAATATGCTTTCAGCCACAAATCGGACCGATTTACCATCAACCCCGACACCGGCTTGATCAGCACAGCGGCGCCAATCAGTGCCAACGCGGCTGTCCGCTTCGAACTGGACGTGACGGCGAGTGGCGGGAAAGCGGCGACAAAAGTCATCGTGGACGTCATCGACGTGAATAACAATGCGCCCGAGTTCCAGCAGACGTCGTACAGGGCCGGCGTTGATGAAAACGCGCCCGTCGGGACCAGTGTGGTGACGGTGAAGGCCGTCGACCTGGACCGGGGCGAGAATGGCTACGTGACGTACAGCATCACCAATATCAACCCGCAGCCGTTCGTCATTGACTATTTCTCCGGCGTCATCAGCACCTCGGAGCTGCTCGATTACGAGCTCATGCCCCGGATTTACAGTCTCAAAGTCAGAGCCTCGGACTGGGGATCCCCCTTTCGGCGAGAGGTGGAGGCCGTCGTCACCGTGACACTGAACAACCTCAATGACAATCAGCCACTGTTCGAAAATGTGGACTGTGACGTCACCGTGCCGAGAGACCACGGCGTGGGTGAGCAGATCACCACCGTGTCGGCCATCGATGCCGACGAGCTGCAGCTCGTGCGCTACTACATCAAATCCGGGGACGACCTGGATCTGTTTGAGCTGAACTCGAACTCTGGCGTGCTTTCCCTCAGGAACACGCTGAGCGAGGGTGAGGCGGCGAAAAGGTCCTTTCACAGTTTGCGGATCGTGGCGAGCGACGGCGAACGCGAGACGCAACCCATGTACATGAACATAACGGTCATAACCGCCCGGATGCCCGTGCAGGTGAAGTGCGTCGAAACCGGGGTGGCGACCATGTTGGCCGAGAAGCTGCTCCAGGGCAGCAAGGTCCACACGCCGGCCGAGCCCGACGACCACTTCGTGGACATTCACTCCATCAACCGCTACGCGCCGCGCTTTGCCGAGTCCTTCCCCGCCTCCGTGGAAGTCAGGGAGGACCTCCCCGTCGGGGGTCGCATCGCTCATTTAGGTGCCACCGACGCGGACAGTGGCTTCAATGGGAAGCTCGTGTACGTCATCTCGGGAGGTGACGCGGAGAGTCGCTTCCTCGCCGAGATGGAGACGGGCTGGCTTTTGGTTTATTCGCCTCTCGACAGGGAGACAAAAGACCATTACACGCTCAACGTCACGGTCTATGACCTCGGCATTCCGCAGAAGTCCTCCTCGCGGCTGCTCGATGTCAAGATCTCGGACGCCAACGACAATATCCCGCGTTTTTTGCAGGAGTCCTACTCTGTGGAAATTAGCGAGAGCACTCCGGTGGGCACGGAAATTATCCAGGTGGACTCGACGGATAAGGATCAAGGCGAGAACGGCGTGGTGAGGTACTCGATTTTGGGCGGCACGGATCACTTTGCTATCAACGCCGAGTCCGGGGTGGTGACGGTCGCCAAGCCGCTGGATCGCGAGCTGCGTCCGGTGTACGACTTGAAGATTGCGGCCCGTGACCTGGCCGAAAAGGAGCCCCAGCTCGTGTCCGCCGTGCCGCTGAAGATCACGCTGGAGGACGTGAACGACAACCCGCCGAAATTCGTCCCCCCCAATTACCGCATCAAGGTGAGGGAGGACCTCCCCGTCGGCACCGTGGTCATGTGGCTGGAGGCCCACGACCCCGATGTCGGGCCCTCGAGTCAGATCCGCTACGGCCTGATGGACAACGGGGATGGAAACTTTGAAGTGGACAAGCTGAGCGGGGCCGTGCGGATCGTGCAGAATTTGGACTACGAGACCAAGCAGGTGTACAACCTGACGGCAAAGGCCAAGGACAAAGGCAAGCCCGTGTCGTTGTCGTCCACTTGCTTCGTGGAGGTGGACGTGGTGGACGTGAACGAAAACCTCTACCGGCCCGTGTTCCGCTCCTTCGTGGAGAAAGGATTTATCAAGGAGGACGCCGTTGTCGGGTCTTCTGTCATGACGGTGAGAGCCGAGGACGAGGACAAAGGCCGAGACGGAGAGATCCGATACTCCATCCGCGACGGTTCCGGCCTGGGGATATTCACCATTGATGAGGAAACCGGTGAGTCATTTTGTGTTTCTCGACAACTCGGTGTTTGGAATACGCAGGCGTCCGTTTGGGATGATTGGCGTGCAAGAATGAGGTGAAGGGCGTATTCCTGCTTCTGGTCTCTTTTTTTTTTTTTTTTTTTTTTTTTTTTTGAAGCATTGGAAGCAGGGGGAGCAGCTGCACGCCAGACCTGAGCAGACATTCTTTGCAGTCGCCGTGGAAAGACTTTCTCCCTCAATCTTTTCAGATTGCAGTATAAAATATTGTTTGGTGGGATTCTTTCGGCGTGGCTCCGCTGCCTAGTAATCATTTTAACAGCTGAGTCAAATTAGCACCAAAATAAGCAGTCTGGAATTCCAGGAGTTCCTACAGCACCCACGCCTTCCCCCCGCCAACCTCACAACCACCAGATTTGGTTGTTTTGGAGCTTGCTTCTTACCTCCTTAAAGCCACTTTTGGTGTGGCAAGACCAGATTTCATACAGTCCTAAGCAAAAGTTTTAGACCACCACAAAAAAAGCCTTTCGGGCTGATAAATTTGGTGAGGGTCGAGCTGAAGATACAGGACTGCATTTTTTTTTCTTTTCAAGCCAACACAAATTTTGTATCATTTGAGAATATGGAACTGAGATTGTTTTGAAGGATCATATAGGAGGTATAAAACTGACAGGTCTGGATCAAGCGACATAACTAAAGTACTGTGTAAAGAAAAATACGTTTAAGACCACAAAAGGCTTTTTTTTTTTTTTTTTTTTTTTAACGCCCTTTTCAAAACACAAGATAACAGTGATTGCAGGATTGAGTACGAAACTGCTAAACTAATTGTAGTGGGGTGACGTATTAGCCAAGGAAAATTCCTGCAAGGGCCAATCATATTAGTGAGTTTCTGGGTAAATATGCCTGAATGTAGTAAAGTAAAGTCTCAGACCACCCATAAGTTTTTATGATCTTTGGTGAGGAGGAGGACTGATACAGATAGCAAGATGATGTAAGCCATTCATTATTGATTGCAGAGGGCTGGTGGGGCCAGGGGGAAGGAAAAAAACCCCTCGGGGCCTCATCCTTTTGGTGAGGGTCTGTATAGACTATCGAGATACACAAACATTGTAAAATCTTAGACCACCACCAGATCTCGGAAAGGCACAGACATAAGACATACAAAATGATTGTGTTAGGGGTTGTGCATGGGTCAAGGAAAGTCCCGGAGTAGCTTGTACTCTTGGTGAAGGTCTGCATAAAGTTGCTGTGCTGGTGAAGTGAGCAAAAAGTCTTGAGACTACCACTTTTTTAATGACCTCTGCCATGTCAACATAAAAACAAATAGCAGGCTCAATGTTGGTTTTACTGAATTTTTTTTTTTTTTATCATGGGGGGGCCGGGAGGAGGGTCTTGAGGGGCGAAGCCTTTTGTGAGGATCTGGATCAAGACAGAAAAACATATGCAAAGTGAGTCCCGATGGCATCAGTACAAGCAGATGGACAGTCAAATTGACCACTTTTGCCCCCGACATTTCGTAAACGGTGGAGTTTTGCGCTCATGTGACATTGCACGTTTGTGACGCAAATGTAATAGAGGCCCAAGACTGTAATTGAAACGCGTAGCCTTGCACTTTTTCTGGATTTGTTTCGCTTTGGATTCTGAATTGGATACACGTGTGAATTTTTCCACAGACCTTTTCCTTTGGGAAATGTTGGCTCTCAGATCGGTATATTTAGCATCTCATGACGACGGGGCGGCGGTGGGACGCGTGGGGGTTGTTGCGCGTGTCAGCTGTGGTGTGTTGCCCCCCCGCCCCCATTTCATAATGCAATGTAATGTTGTTTTACGAGCGAGCGGATAACCGGGATGCTCGCGGTTTTATTGGTTTCTTCCGCTTTCACGCAGCAGTTGTCTTCCCCGGTGTTAACTGCAAAATTGACGGACGGCATGACATTCGTTACACCTGTTTGAATCTCAGATCCATCAACCCTGATTTGATCTCCTGTCTTAGATCCTGATGCTAATCTTAAATTGATTATCAGAGTTATATTGATTGCGTTGTCCATGAGGGTTGGGCTGCAATGTCGTTGATTATATCCGGGATCAGCGGGCTACCGAATGCGGCCGAGGCGGTAATACCTCCTAGGTTGGCCAGAATGAAGGGTGTGGTTTGTTTGGCGAGCAAAAAGCATAGCAAGGAAAGTGGCTCTGTGCAGCTCGGCTATATATATACAGAGCCACAGCTGCATCTTGTGGCCAGAATTGTTCAAAATTAGAAAACCGACCAAAAAAAAACAAAAAAACAACAACCCCAAAAGAGCAAAGAAATCCCAGGAACCACACACCTTGTGCCCCCCACCACACAAATTTTAATGGGGGGGAAACCATTAGACGATGTTTTTTTTTTTTTTTTTTTTAACTTTTTATTTCTCTCTGCCATTGACATTTAACTGCTTGTTTTGTCTGGCTCCCTTTCTCACTTTTTCATAGCGCAACATTCATGAGGATGAACACATTTTCAGGGGTCTTCAAGCATGACAGATGTGCTCTTATAACCAGGGCCGTGCACAAGTTGGCGCTGACTCAAATTGAGATCCGAATCGGCCGTTAAAAAGTAAAATTTTCGGATTCAAGTTAGAAGGGGGTCATAAATTTTTGTCCTGTGTATTGTCTCAGAGGCATGTTTGGGTGGCACTTTTGTCTCAGTGAAATGTACTGTATGTAAGTAAGGAGTCCACATGCATCCACGCCCGCTACATTTGCCCATGTATGCCTGGGTATGGAAATATTTGGCCAGCTACTGATCATACAATTCCAAAATTGTTCAGCAGTAAGTCCATAAAGCCCAGCCAGGCACTGTGCCAATGACTTTGTCTATGTTACTTCACTGCTGGTCTCTCACGCCGTCACAGCATTATCCAAAGTGTTTGGCCACTTACGTGACTGGCGATGACAGGCTAGCTTAGCGATAGCTAGCTAGCGCGACCAACGGAAGCCAAACAGCCTAACATTGGCTAAGCACAACAAGGGATCATGGAAGTTGAAGTCAACTGTTTTCTACGAGTGAAGGAAAACCTTTCAGTGCTGCATCAGGTTTTTCTTTGTCCAAAAAAAAGGTGTAATCTGTTCATTTCTGCGTGAATCGAGATGCCCGATTGTTTCATGTATGCATTGCCCTTTCTTCCCGTGCTAATATATGCATTGCCCTTTCACTCAGCGTGCCGTCAAGACATTCCTTTGCAAAGCTGTTATTGTATTTTCCATTTCAGTTGAAAAAAAAAAAAAGCCTGTCCTTGGCTTCCCCCCAGCCCCTCCCCGCCCCCTTCTAGCTGCAAACCTCAAACTTTTTCGTCTGGCCCGTAATGGATAGATGTGGTATTAAGCACCCTTCCTCTTTATTTAGCGCTTAGATAAACTCCCCAGAGACCTCAAAGTGCCACCTGAATCCAATCCAAACAGTGCTGCCGCTTGAGTGCCGTTGCCGTGGAGACGGCGGCAGGAATGCACGCGACGGGACAAAGTTGATTGCCGGCCGCTAAACGAAAAGCACACATTGGTCATTAAAAGGATGCAGCGGCAGTTCTCAGCCCGACCCCATGAAAGCTTCTTAAAAAAAAAAAAAGAAATCTTGCTGCACAGGAAGAAAGCGTTGTTCATTTGCCTGTTACTCCAGGTCATGCTTGACTCACAACGCCCCCCCCCCTTTCAGCGTCAATTAGTCAGAATCATGATTAAATATTCAACTGAAAGTACAAAGACCAAATTTTATGGTATTTGTGATCCCCTTCCGGCTTGTTTTAATGTTCCTTTTTTTCTGATTGTTGTAGTTTCTCCACGATAGACGCGAGTAGTATGAGGCTCACATATGAGAAACGAGGGGCTGAAATAATGACTAAAGGATTATGTCAAATTGGGAGAGAATGTTATAATGGAGTTGAAAAACTGGTGAAAGTAAATTCATGACCGTAAACCAAGATGACTACCAGAAAAAGTAATTTTGCAATAATTGTTTTGTATATGAAGTGGTAATTTTGTATGTAAAAAAAAATAATAATAATAAAATTCTTACTCTATAAGAAAAAAGTTGCCATTTTTACAGGGTGGAATCACTTTTTAGCAAGTAAAGTTGTAATGTTCAGAGTATAAATTGTCCATTTACACAAAAATTGAGAATATCATGGTAATATTGTACCTTGATCATTATCATGAGGGGAATATTGCCATTGAAACTGAAATTTTGTACAGTTGTAGTTTTATTTTTGTTGACGTATCTGCTGAAACCCGTAACTTTCCGTTTTTCTTCTTTTTGGTGCAGACTTCATACTTTTTTGTCCTTGCCATGTTTGCAAAAAAAGCGATGCGTGGTTCCGCTGAAAAAGCGGGCGAAGGAAGTAATCCTAAATCCACGCTTACTGTACATGGTTTAAGATTAACATATACAGTATCCTCTAAGCCAGACGGAAAATGTGTGGGTGTCTGTGTGTGAGTGTTATTCCTTTTTTAAAATATGTATTCCTATACTTAGCGTTGTGTTTACTTCAGCACGAACGGATGTATACAGGTGATGGTGAGCTCAGCTCCTGGCAGACTAAAGAACACTGTCCGGTGTTTTAGGCTAGCAGCGGGGCTTCGTCTCAGAGGCCATCTCGAGTGCAGTTAAAAGGCCATTTTATATATTTAGAGGAGAGGTAAACTTGTTCAGCAGGCGATCACAAGGCCGGCCGGCCGGCATGCTTCGTAATTGCGTTAAATCAGAAGGCAAACTGATTTTTTTGGTTGTGTTTTTTGCTTTTGTTTTTTTTCTTCCCCAAGCCTGCCAGTTCACTTGCGGTCAAGGCACAGGCGAACAATCGTTTGTTGTATTATTAATGCTGCTGTTTGTGGTGGTTGTAAAATGAAATTTAATATTCACTTTCATTTTGGCGCTATATGTAACTTTTTTTCCTTGAAGAAAAGCAATGAATAAAGAAAAGGAGCGGGGTCAAAATCAATCAAGAAGAACACGCAGAGGGACCAACTGTGCATAAACAAATGGGCACTGCTGCCTGCTGATACACATTGTGGAAATTGCAATGTTAATTCCGGGAAAATTAGCTGAAGCCTACTGAATGTAGATCGCTAGAATGCCATCACGTTGATAGCTGGAATGCTTCTACAGGAGTAAGAAATCCGCTTGAGTACAGGAAGTGCACAAATAGATTGAAAAGAATTTAGCATCACGTCGGCGGGTCCTATTTTAAGTGAGAACTGATGAAATGCTATCGTGCTAATAGCTATCCTAACATATTGCAAGCATACCAACCAGGGTCCAAGACAGATCCTTTAGAATTTCACACTCAGCCCTGTAGTCGGGTACTTTTTCAATGCGGCAATTGCCCGAATGCTAACATGCTAACAGTTGTTATTCTCACACATAGCAAGATGGCCAGCCTGTGGATGGAAACTGGTGAGGCAGACCGACCAAGATTTTACACCTTGACCTATGGTCTGGTACTGTTTGTATGAGAACTAATAAAATGCTAACTTGCTAACATTTGGAATGGTAACATACATCTCGATAGCAGCCTGAGCGTCGAACATATGTTGAGCTCTTGGTTTTCGTCCGTCGCCGCAAACGTTCTGCAGACGTTTGTCAGGAGAATTCTCGATGAACGTTTGCGACATTGGATGAACCCTGACGTGAACCAGCCTTCACCACCTTCACCAACGTTCGCAAAGGTTCGCCCCCTCCGTGCGAACGGTCTGAAGGCATGTCCATAAGAATTGGCAGAGCCTGAAGAATTTCTCGTCAGGCTCAGAAAACAGATGAGCTGTGACATTCGCAATGCGAGCCCGAGGGCAGGTTGACGCCAATTTTGGGCAGCACCCTGAGTTGAATGGAAATAGTTGGATTAATCTTCATTTAATTTTTATTTCATTGAACTTTTATTCCATACACACATTAATCAGAATACCTGATTAATTCATTTTATATAATATACTTTTTTTGCATTCAGGTCCCCTTCAATCTTTTAGCGCCATTGTTCAATTTCAAATTCTCCAAATCCTCTGATTTCAGCCTCTCAACTGTAAATATTTTCAGATTTTCGTCGTCTTTTATTTAAACAGACTTTTGTGTTAAGCAAAATAGGAGAATGGCTAAAGTCTGCTTTTACTTTTTGAAAACTTTGACTCAAATCTGACATGTTATGGATTCATAATGAAGTTATTCAAGACAATTCACTCGGTTTTGAAAAGAATTATTTGCAGCCGTGGTATGTTCACATGACATGTAGTTGAACCTGAAGCAACCCGAGAAGTGAATATGAAACTAGTAGCCCTTGGCATCGATCACGATCCACCTCATGAATTATAAGCCCTTAATCCCAATAAGCTTCATGTTTGAAGCATGGCGCTGAGCTGCAAGAAGTCTGGGAACTCTTTGGAAGTCTGGGGGACCTTTGAGAACGTGAAGTTGCCCGGTAACGCCGGGGTTCACTTCAGGCCTTTTACCTTGTTTCCCCCCCCCCTCTCAAACACGCTTGCAGAATGTGAAGCATTTCAGCAGGTCTGCGGCACAGAGACGACGAGGCTCCTTTATGGACGCATGTGAGCGGGAGGCCCGGGGAGGCTCGGGGAATGCGGGTTGTAAGGCGGGCCAGCGGCGTTAGTGCAGTTCAAAGACGCGCCCCAATGCCTTGCTGCAAACAAGGAAGCGTTTCTGTTTCATCCCGACTCGCTCTACCTTACCGTGTGGCTTGTTTGAATGTGGCCTTTGTGTGTGTGTGTGTGTGTGTGTGTGTGTGTGTGTTTGTGTGGGTGTGTGTGCGGGTGTATGTGTGTTTGTGGTGTTGTGTGTCAGTATAGTGTACACATCTTAAAAAAAAATGGCTGCAGGTCATGACAGTTCACATCTCGCTAAGCTCAGGTAACTTTGAATAACAAAGCCTCAGGGAATGTGAGCGCAAAAAAAGAAGCGGAAAGCAAATCTGGTTTTGTCTCGTTCTTCTTTTCTCCTGGCCTAAAGGCAGGTCTCTTTTTTTTTCTTCTTCTTCTAACGGGCTAGGATAGCGGTGCGGAATGGGCGCGGCGAGTGAATTCACGTGCTTTGTTCGTAAACTATTCAGTCAGGGTGGGAAGGATCGGGTGTCACCGCCAGCGGTCCACGTACCACACTGGAGTAACATTCCAGCTTTTTGGAGTACCCGTGCAACTTTATTTGTATAAGATGAGAACTTTTTCCTCGTGACTTTGACTTTTCTGCTACTTTTTTTTTTTTCTCTCATCAGATCACAACCGCCCTTGTTGAGGCTTTGTGGCTGCTCAATTTTTTGGTAGCGGGGAGAAAGCCAAAGAAAAAGTCAAGTCTAGTGCGGCAGATCTGGATGATTTGACTCGTTTATGACATCAGGTCAATCCATGAAAGCCAGTTCGTCCTCCCTTCTGAACTTGATTCAACTCTCCGTTCCTAAGCCAGCTACATGTACTAAGAATGCTACGCGCATGCATTTGCACCTCTTGGTCTGTCCGCTCGACCGCCCCCCTCCTCCTTCAGCTTTTTATGACCTGAAGCCACAACTATTTGTCTCCTCTCACTTCCAAATCCTGGCTGTTGTCAATCAACAAAAGGCTGTGTCAACAAAACGACACCCTCTGTAAACTATTTGTCACCTGAAAAGTATAGTGTCCTTTTTTCTTTTTTTTCCGACCCTTTTAAATCATGCATGTGTTTGTTTGTTTTTTAAATTATTTATTAGTATATTTTAGCTTTTGGCACTTTTAATTGGGGGGGGGGTTATTTTAGTTTAAAAAAAAAAACACTAGGAATACGAAAGTGTTGCTAAAAGGTTGCGCTGCACAATTACAGAAACTCTGACATCAACGTGAGTGACCGACCATCCATCTTGTCAATCAAGTACTGACTCCGGCCTCCGTGAAATATTTCCCTTGCTTTTGACTTGTCATATTCCACTCAGTCACGTGTCTCCAAAGCCCCAGCCCGTCCTCGCCGCTTGGTCTTTCTTTGACTTCGCTCAGGTGCCCATCCTCCACTAGCCTCGTTTGCAGCTGACGCCATTGTCTGTGGGTGCAATTCACGTGGTAGCTCTTTTATTTGCTCAGCTGAAGTCCATCGCCCCCGCATGGCAGTAAAACAACCTTCCCTGCTGGCGAATGTAAACAGCGCACTTGTTGATACTATTGCGTGTTGACATCCAGACCTAACTTCTGCAATCTTCTTTTATGCTTTTCAAGGTTTTCGTATCAGGAAAATGATGTCCTCCAAGCCTTGTTGAGTGTGTATCATGCTGCATGTGATGCAAGTGAAAAAGTAGGAAGTTAAAACATTAATTTAAATGGCCAAAAAAAGAAAAATAATCAAAAAGACAAGGCTAAAACATGCAAAGTGTTGTACGAGACTAGAGTTGCATTTTCCCCCAAATTGTACGTCTTGAACAACTGCAGTGGTCCCTGTACGCCAACTTCTGGAAATGCATCATAAACACAGATCTCCGTTAATGGGAGGTAAGGTTAGCAACAGAAAAAATGTGTAAAATTTAAAACATGAAAAAAAAAATAAAAATAAAAATAAAAATAGACTTTCATGAAGGTTTTATTCAGTTCGACCTCTAAAATTTTGTGAGAACAAGGGTCCAAATTAGGGGTGGAACGCTTTTTGAAAAACAACAAAATCGATCGGTTCAACCATTTCGGTTCAATCCGAGTTATTCCGTTGGTTCACGTAATTCTCATTAGGTCGAAAGTACTGAATACACATAATCACAAGTGTATTGATTAAACACACACACACACACACACACACACACACAAAACAAGTATAAAAGTTTACAGAAAAATACACTCGCTCACAAAATGTCAACCAAGGCTTAAACATTTAAAAAAAAAAAAAATCACTTCCACTTCCAAAAAATCTCTTTCCCAGATGGCTGTTGCTAAATTCCCGATATGGCCTTGTTTCTTTAGGTATCATCCGAACGCAAGAGCTGCTGGACCACGAGACCACTCCCCACTACTGGCTGACGGTCTACGCCATGGATCGAGGCGTGGTTCCCCTCTCCGCCTTCGTGGAGGTCTACGTCGAAGTGCAGGACGTCAACGATAACGCGCCGCAAGCGTCGGAACCCGTCTACTACCCCTCTGTGATGGAGAACTCCCCGAAGGACGTGTCCATCATCCAGATAGAGGCGCTGGACCCGGATGCTAAGTCTAGCGATAAACTCAGCTATAAGATCACCAGCGGTAATCCGCAAGGCTTCTTTGCCATCAATTCCAAGACAGGTAAGACTGCTGTTGCTTTAGAGGGGAGATTTGGGAGGGTGGAGGGGCTACATGGATTCGTACTTGTCTCTTATTTTTGTTCAAGGCGTCATGTAGGCGATTAGCGTTTTTAAGGTTTGCCGTGGTTTTGTAAAGTCAAGGTTTCAATTGCCGCTAAAACACATATTTGTACCTTTTGGCCCTAAATGATTGGGTTTTTGCAAACTTATTTTGACATTTTGGCATGAAATGAGTTAATATGTATTGTCGTAAAGGCAAAAAAAGACGACAACAAAAGCACAGTGCCAGCGGGTACTAGTTGGCACCAAGGACAACATGCACCAGCACATGATTTGGTCGCACCCTTTTTTGGGTGGTTCCAGCAAGACCATGCACGTTGATGAATAGCTGTTTTAATTAGCGTACCACAGTTTCATCGCAGTACTGACAATGACTCAAGTTGTTCTATTTGACTTGAGAAATCCTGTATTTCGAAACACATTCCCCAGAAAATGCACAAATAGAAATCATAATTCAGGCATTGGCTTGATCCGTAACATGTCAGAAAATCAACAAAAATGTTCAGTTTTGTTTTCCAGTAAGTAAATGCAGATGTTTGTAAATGTTTTATTTTGGGGAGCGGGAAAAGCACAAATATACTGAGTTTGCTTTCATGGGGGATGACAGAAATCTGACAACGTTTACTTTGTACTACTGACCTGAGTTTGCTTTCATGGTTGGACGACAGAAATCTGACAACGTTTACTTTGTACTACTGAGAGATCGCCATTCTGTGGGTTTGGTCACTTTTAAATTGGAAATGATTAAATGAATAATAGATGCGCAAAAATATTTTTGATTAATTTGCTAATCGTTTAGTTATCGATTAATCACTGGACCTCTCCTTTTCTTAAATACAGATAGTTTCAGAATTTAAAGTCTTTTTTTTCTTCTTTTGCTGTAGCTGGGTCACAATTCACATTATACGTTCACACATATTACACCTGTCGTCAAATCAACGTGCCTGTGCGAATACCTCGCATCTATTCATGTATGAAAAGGAAAAAGTAATTTAGTTTTTTCTTATACCAGGCCGTGCCTGAGGGCTCCTCTCTCCACTCCAAAAGTGCCTTTTCTCATGCGGCGCTTTGCAAATGGCGTGACCATTAATATTACATCGGCTTCTTATGAACCCGCCCCGTGCGCTCTACACTGCGTCGTCACTTGCATGTTTGTGATCTTGTGTGGGTGGTCTTCCCCCACTCTCCCTCCCAAAAGGTAGTCGCTTCAACACAAGCTGCAGAGTTATTTTTGTTACAACTGCCAAACGTGAACTTTCTGACCAAATAAGGATGGGAGAGCATTAGCAGCGCACCTCCCTCTCCCCAAACGGGCCTGGCATAAATCGTGCTTGGGAATTCCCAACTAGACGGAGGAAGTAATTAATGCAAGAGCACGCTCACTTTAATTTGCCCGTCTTTGGTGGCTGATTAAATGTGTCAGGTTGGCGAATAGAGGAGGGGGAAAAAAGTGTTTGCGCCCCCATAGGAAGAAGTCATGTCCATTGAATTCATTTCATCCAGAAGTAAACTGGAAGCAAATGTCATTTGTCATAAAAGTGTAAAAAGTAGTTAACCATGGCTAAATTTAGCTGGAAACATATTTTCCATGAAGAATCATTCAAAAAAAAAAATCTAATTGTGATTTTCCCTACTCAATATTGCGATTTAATTTTTTTCAGGGTGCTCTTCCTATTTCTATTTATTTGTTTATTTTATTAACAATCACAACAAATTCATATGTATACCGCACTATTAAAAAAAAAAATCTGATTTATTACACATCAATGTTTTGGTCTTTAAAGGTGAATCTTTTCGAGGATTTGCCGTGAAAAAGGAAGTGCAGGACTATATATATATATATATATATATATATGCTCCATGCGTCAATGTGACACGACAACCGCATATTGCCGGTTTCTGAAAATGTTTAAATTTACCGCATGCGAGGCCTTTTTTTTTCTTTTTTTTTTTTTTTTTCTCCCCCATAATGACACGTTCTAAATCTGCGTCCAGGGCCCCCAGTCTTGGCGTTCATGCAAAGCTTGTGAACCAAAGGGTGGGAAAATAAATGAAAGCCAAAGCCTATGTTTTGTGTGCGTGCATGTGCCCCTTCGGCATGTGTTTCCGAGCTAACAAGCTAGTCGCGCTCCTTTATCCACTACGGCCGTAAGGCTTCAAAGCCGCCAAGGCTTTTCTCAACGCCTTGGGTGGTGGTAGTGGTGGTAGTGGTGGTGGCTGCTCCGCACTCGCCGCTTTTAAGAAGGCCCGGGTCTCCTTTCTGGTACCTTCTTTGACACAAAGTGTAAAACACTTAAAATATTCGAGAGTCTCTTTTTGGGAAAAAATCAACACCTGCAAGCAAAGGACAGAACTGCTCACTTCAGATGCGACTTGAAAAGAGGCAGGAGTAGCCGGAATGGAAGTAGTTGGGCTTAAAAACATTGACATTTTGGAGTGACTTCACTTCTGTTGGCAGCTTATTCAATTTGAGCACAGCATAACCGCTAAATGCCGCTTCACCCTGTTTGCTTTGAACTCGAGACGGCACGAATTGCTGCTGGTCTGCAGAACTTAAAAGCCCTACTGGAGTAATATTAAATTAGCATTTATTTAATGCTTTCGGGACCCAAATCAATCTGTGATTTATAGAGCAGTGGCAAAACTTTAAACTGAGAGAGCCAGTGTAAAGAACAAAAAGAACTACACTCGAACTGCCTAAAAACAGGCATTGCGACGATGGCGCTGCACTAACTTTGTCACGATTTTTAAAGGGGAAAAGCAGTCCTACAACATAAAAACAATGTCGCTCAGCAGGCAGTGTGTCAATATTTTATTATTATTATTTTTTGCATTCAAATGTCATTTGCTTTGAACGGTTATATATGAGTGGTGCTGGGGGTAGGGGTACGTCAAGGGCGTGGTGCGTGTCTCGGAAAAACTTGGATAAAAGGTGGCCCGACATTGTAAAATCAACATTGCAAAATGGGGTTTGGCCAGTTTTCTTTTTGTTTTGCAGGTTGCTGGGCACTCTGTTGCCAACTCTGCCCGTGGCTTAAAATGTATGTGCGAGGCTGTTCTAATTTGTGTTGTGATGGGCGGACAAGCATTCATTTGATTCCCCCACATGCATACTTGACTCATGTATGCTTCAGTCAAGGCGTCCCACTTGACGTCTGCTTTTATTTTCTCTTCATAGAGAATTTGTCAATGCACTTATTAAACATCGCCCACATTTGATGACGCGCGGCGTCTGAAACGTTGCGGTGGCAGGACGTCGTCGGACTTTGAACAGCGCGGCCGTAAATGGGCTGTTTGCTTGGTGGTGGTAACCAAGCCAAACACGGGAAACACACTGTTGCCAAGGCCGGATGACAATCTTATCACTCTTCACCTTGGCATCCATTTTAGATCAATTAGGGCAGGGATTCCTCAGAACTTCCAGAGGGTTGGGTTGGGTTGAAAGTGTCACGGCTGCACATTTACTTTGTGTTATTTAGAAATTAGACGTCTCAAAACAGCGGTACCTCGGCTTCCTGTTGCCACCACGCGTTGAAGTTTACCGTAAAACGAAGCGAACAGCAAAGGAAATGTCATGTAGTGTATTTAACCAAAGCACATAACTCACGATTCTGTTAGCTTAATGCTATCACTCAGGCCATTGATGTGCTAATGACACTAGCATTGACGTTGTAGAAGTTAACTCTTTTATAAGCAACTATCAGATATGTGAACACAAACATTGTAGTGACATAGACAGTCAATTTGACAATACCACGGGCACAACAAAAACAATAATAATAATAAATAGGGATGTTCGATTCCAAGTATTCACTCTTTCATACTCAACCAATACCAAGTACCAATACGTCTTGTAATTTTGATATATAAAATCTCATTGGGCACAAAGTTGCTTTCTGACTTGGATGATGACTCACTGATCTGTCAATCTCCCGCAGGATAGCGCCAACTACTGCTGAGGAGGACTAACTCGATGTCAGATTTTTTTTTGACCTTATTGTTTTTAACTTTTAAACTTTTATCTGTGGCTGGTATCGGTCGCCTCCGAGTACCCGTTACCTTTAAATAAGGCTGGTATTGACCCGATACGGATACCTGGTATTGGTTTAAATTGATTTTATTTGCGTTTCTACCCTGCATTTGGGAGGATCTGTAGTTGACAGTCATATCGTTTAAGCGTCAGGATAGCGGCAGATAGGGGATGCTTCTCATTGTTACCTTTTCAACAGTGACGCATCCATTATCACGGGAAGTGAGATAGGGAAAAGATAACACCAACAACTTCCTTGCTATTGTCCACAGGTCAAACTATGATCACACTGCCCGCGGAGCGAACGGTTGGAAATGAACTGAATGTTTCAACTTTTGTGTGACTTTTACATGTTGAGTTTTTTTTCTTCCCCCTCTTATACCAATACATCATGGTCATGATGATTATTTTTTTCCTTCGGACAAAAATATGAGATTGTCGAAAGTATTTTTAGTGTGTTTTCCTCTTAACGTTTGGATTTTTCTTCGGCCACACTTAATGTTAAAAGCGGGCGTCCCGTCTGTACCCCTAAACACAGACCTTCTTAAGTTCCCCGCAGGTCTCCATTTTGTCAAATTTCTTAACCATTTTTCACGGAAGGACAGAACTCCACCACTGCTTGCCTTTTGCCCCCCCCCCCCCTTCAGCCCAACTATCACGGTTATAATTACTGTCAGCCTTCCTTGGCCCACGCCTCGCCACGGCCTTTGTGTGCGTCGGGACAAAAGGACGGCCTGCGTGTTGGAAGCGCTGACTTATTTTGGCTCGCCAACCCGATCATTTTCCAGTTTTCAGGATCAGCCGCGTATCCTTTACATGAAAGGAGCGGTTCTATTTCGCAAGTATTCATTTTAGGTCCAATAAAGCCAGATCGGAATCAAACTTTCGGGCTGTTTAAATAGATGAAAGTATTGTCTTAGATGTTCGGTTTGGCCGCGCATCCTGAACTTTTTGCTTTTGCTGTCAACATGTGCAACAAAACCAAGACAAGATGTACAATGCGAAAGAAACGCAAACACAGTGTTTCTCTGCGTCATGCTCAGGCCATTGATAGGCTATTTTGGAACAAATGCTTTGAGTGACACAATTTGTCTCTCAAAATAACCTTTTCTTGTGGTGTTGCATTATTACTTCTACTCTTCACAAATTTGATTAATTTTCTTTTCTTTTGGTGATGTTTTTTTTCTTCTTTTTAGCGTAAAATGGATATCGCCAATCGTCAAATTTTGTCACAAATTTTTAACAAGAATTTTCACCGTGTATAAGATTGAAAATGTGAAGTTCTGTTTCACATCGGACAGCGAACTGCAGGCTTTATTTGTGTCATCAGGCTTGAATTTCTTAAGTGTACAACAAAGATTTATTCTTCCTGTTGTCAGAGTGGAGATTATTTAACAAAAAAAAAAGCACATTTGTTAGGTGCGTTTTTTTTTCTTTCCTTTGAATGAAAATCAGTAGTCTTATGTTTAAGATTAAAAAGAGCCAAAAAGGAAAGTCTGAAAATGGAAAAGTAGGTTCGGTGGCCGGCTTGTGTTTTCCTAATTGCAGTGCTGAGCCTGCGACTATTTCTGGGCAGCCGTAAGTTGTGGGCCTCGCGTTCCTCGCTGGCTTTTGGGGTTTCGGAAATCCTTTGCTTGATGCTAATCGGGTCGCAGTGCGGCGACGGGGCAGCTCTTGGTGCGGTCCGAGCTGGCTCGTCTACTCCGTGCTCGGGTGCAATTAACGCTGGCAGGACGAGCACGAGATGCCGCTGAGAACGTCGCCGCTCCGCCAGATTTTCTTCCCCCGTTGTCTGCGTGTTTGTGAATGGGTTAAGACTAGCTGGTTTTACTTAGCATTTGCCAAAAGACGCCTTAAAAAGGCAACAGACAAGGCGGAGAAGTCACGTCCTGCAATCAGCGAGTGCTCTGACAAGAATGAGGCAGTATCTGGAAATGAGTAGACCTGATTGTGAAGCCATGCACAATGTTTCTTCTTCTGTCTGTTAGATAGCAGGCTATTTTCAGATGCGTGGGTGTTAGGATTCAAATAAATGAAACAGATCTTCTTTTAGGATTCCATGATAAATCGATTGACAAAAAATATTCGTTTTGTCATAAATTGTTTGCTTTGTCTGAATGGTTGTTGTTTGTCTACGTGTGCCCTGCAATTAGCCGGCAACCAGTTCAGGGTGTACCCCCGCCTGCTGCCTGAAGCAGACAGCTGGGATAGGCCCCACACGCCCGCGATCCTTGTGAAGATAAACGATTCGGATAATGGATGGATGTCTCTCTGTAAATTAGCTAGCGGGTGACATTAATTGGTGACAAAATTCGCTAGCTGGTTTGGAGAGAATCAATTTTGAATGGGACATTTTTATCATTTGTATATTTTGGCGGACTAGGGTCTGGTCAAAAAGAGAAACTGTCTGTCGAACAAATGTGGTGCTAAAAGTGACCCTTTTTGGGTCAATTTTTTCAAACTAAAAGAACAGGATTGTTTTGACTGCACATTTTTAATGCTCAGAGCGCAAAAAGACTCTTGCTAATTTTGTTGTATCCCTTCTCCATTTTAGACGGTTTTAGTGTCATGTTTGTTCAGCTTTCGTGGGAATTAAACGTTACCCAGCTGAGCTATTTGAGCTGGTCTCCGCGGGTCTTTGCGACATTTCACACGTGTCCGTCTGGCAGCTGCCAAAAGTTAACAGCGAGAAATCTTTTCGTTCCTACACCTGTGCATATTTTGGATATTTTGAATTTTGTGTGGCATTTTACATTATTTTGAAATGAAGTGTAGTAATGATGATTTTTTTTTTCTCCCTACAGGCCTAGTTATGACGACGTCAAGGAAGCTGGACAGGGAGCAGCAGGATGAGCACATTCTTGAGGTAAGGCATGGGCAATTAAGTTTCATGTTGCTCAGGGAAACTGTCTTAAGGGGTTGATTTTCCCTCCCAAATTGTAGAGGGCACTACAGATGCATGGCTTTATGTTTTTGGAGGTTCATTGGACTTTCTTTTCAGAAGAATACATTTCTTCTTGCTGTGTAAAACTGTCTTTCGCTAAATTCAAAAAAAAAAAATCACCAATGTTGTGAATGTTACCAATCCAAATTTGGCGCTTCAAATAGAAATTTCAGTTTCTGTTTTTTTTTTTTTTTTTTTTTTTGCTTGTTTTTTTAAAATGGGTTCTTGCGACATTTCGTGTGTGTGTGTGTGTGTGTGTGTGTGTGTGTGTGTGTGTGTGTGTGTGTGTGTGTGTGTGTGTGTGTGTGTGTGGTGGGGGGGGTACTCGTCATTGACATGGCTATTCAATTTCATGTCGCTGAAAAAAATTCTCTTTCTTCAAAAAAATGACAGATCCCAACTTTTTTTATTGCTGGAATTCTTTTGACTGTGAATACCCCCCAAAAATCTTGAGGGCTCTTCTGGACCAAAATGTTCACTTTAAACCAAAATGGCAGATCAGATTTCCTGTCCCTTTTCGGCAATTACCCGTTAAACATTTTTTTGTGGGTATACATACTCATGATGGACATGGCTGTGTGAAACTGTCTTCATTGGGTGGATTTGAAAACAATATCGTGAGGCTGCTACAAACCAACATGGCAGACTCGTTGTTTGTTTGATTTTACACCGTGGGTCCTTGAGACTTTTTGTGAGTAAGCTCATGATAGACATGCCTACCCAAAATCATGTGAGATTAGATGCAAGGGGAAACTGACTTGGGGCGCAGATATCTTTTGTCAATTTCTGGAGTGGTGCTAGCTAGCTAGATAACTCTTGTCCAAGTTATCAAGTGTAAACATTTATAATTATGTGGTGAACACCAAAGAGTCTCTCCCTCATTTTAGGTTGGTGTCTTCTTAGGGTAGAGCTGCAGGGCCATAAATCATATAATCATATGCTTATGGGTGGAGCAGTATCGGTGGTAGTAGGTTGCAAACCCCCAAATCGACCCCCCGCTCTGCCTTCTACACTAGAGAGCTGCAGTCGATGTTCTACACTCTAGGCTTTTAATTGACCTCGGCCGCGCCATCTTTGCTCGCCGCACAAACCGCAGTTGCTAATGGAGGCATTTTAATTGCCCGCCCCCCCAACTTCTTCTCGTTGGGCTTTTAATTACAGTCGAGAGCAGCGGCGTTCAGCTGCTCGTACATCTGCTGCCTGAGCTGCGTTATTTGTCATCCTCAGATTGTGTTACATTTTTCAACTATAGCTCTAAATTGGAGTTCAATAGCAATTTTCACAGACAATACGAAAAAAAAGGAGTGTGTGAAAACAAAGGCACAAGAGGCCAAATACAATGCATAAGACGCGGTAGATTAGACAGAAGACCTGTAAATAGACTCATACAGTGTGTCACCCCTAACTGTGAATATACACTTTAAAATCATTGATGTGACCAAACTATTTTATCTACAGTGGAGTCTTAGTGGAACTAATCAGTTCCAGGGTCATACGATGGCTACATGGTGGACGTATACAGTATATCAATGGACAATCCATAGGCCCCAAGCGGCAGAAGCCATAGGGCAGCCATCTTGCGTTGCCACGTTTACTGACAAGTTCTGTTGTTTTTGTGCTGAAAACACTGTTATCTGTGTTTTATGCTATCCCTGTCTGGACTAATGAGAGACTCTCAAAGAACCAATTTCATTGTTTGCATGCACCATCTTACATTAAAAGTAGATGTTGTTCTCCTCCCGGAACAGTCTATCAGTGGGTATAGATACCCCGAAAAAAGGCGCTCACAAAACTGAACTGCACTCTTACGAAGTTTAGTGCTACTTTAAAGGCTCGCTTTTGCCGACAAATTTGGGTCGAATTCCGCATTGCAGAGTTCAAAGAGATGAAAGGAGCACGTGTTTAGGTTCATGTACTACCATGGCGACCTAAGGCATGTGTTTGTGCCCGCCGGTGTGTGTGTGTGTGCGTGTGCATGTGTGTGTGTTGGAATCCGGAAGCCATTTTCTCACACTGCACTTTCACGACGCTTTAGAACCATGCGCACACACACACACACACACACACACACACACACACACACACACACACACACACACACACACACAGTCGGGGGCAGGTAACTCTGGCCCAGGGTTATGACGGTAGTAGGGGGGCTTCTATCGCTTTTATGACCAGAGAGGCGATTGGTGGCGCATGGGGGGTTGGTAGGTTCGTATGTCTGGGTGTAAAAGACAGAGAGCAGATCGGCCAGCTCGTCGGTCTGGATAGGAGAGGTTGGGGGGAGTGGGTGAAGCAAAGTAGGACATGCCGGGGCATGCTAAGGAATCAGGTCCCTGGACCGGGAAGAGTGGAAAGAAGAAACAACAGAAGGGGGGGGCTGAACATCTGCTGTGAACAGTGGGTTTACACAGCATGCATTTAGCACAAAGTAGATCACTACCTGGGTGCTTCACGTCTGTGCAAACACACAGTCTTACGTGATGCAATGACCTCATATGTATGACCAAAAGTTGCATGGAAAAAAAAAACCCTAACCACTGTTACTAGCAAAATGTGCAGTCTACTTAAAAGAATGTAAGTTACCGCCATTGAAGTGTAAGAATTTAAACCATTTTACAAACAATAAAACGTTCGACTCACTACCTGTAAAACTAAAAAAGGACAAAACAGTCTTCCTTAAAAAAAATCAAAAAGCAATACACTTTAAAAAGAAAGTCGACTCACTACCTGTAAAAATAAAAAAGGACAAAACAGTCTTCCTTAAAAAAAAAAAAAAATCAAAAAGCAATACACTTTAAAAAGAAAAAAACCTTAAAAAAATCTCTAACAAATGTAAAACTCATGAACTGGTCTCTTCACTCAACATAATTGTGAAATTAGAACATTGTCATCAAAGTCTGTTACTGCTTCAAAGGGTCATTCAATTCTCATTTTAAAAACGCAATTATATTCAATTAACATCTTGTTTTCAATATCACGAGCCCAGGTTAATTCCCATCATTATCACCGAACGTGCTAACAGCTAATAGAACTAGTCGGCCAATCCTTCTCGAGAGAGACATCGGGATTGTATCGATGGTGCATTTTGGCGGACATCTGCGGACGTCCCAAACAACTACATTAGCAAGCTAATTGAAATGGCGCGAGTAAATGGTGTGTGGCTGGCAGATGCTTCTCTACGGCGACTGCATTTGTTGTGCCCTTGCGGCGTCTCTTGCCAGCAGTCCTGTGACTGCGTTCAATTGTCCTAAGACAATTTTTTTTTTCATTCCCCGAGTAAAAGCCTCGTTAATGACACATAAAGCTGCATCTGTTCTTGGTGCGAAAGTCGGAATGTTCAATGTGCCAAAATACAACCACCGCTCGATGAACCAGGAAGGTAGCATGCGACCAAGAGGCGGACGTTAGAGAATTTCACACATTTATTTGCGAGGGGAAACCCATGCTATTTCGCTGTGAGTTAAATTACTTTTACATTTACATGTTTTGCGTCCACACAAGCGTCAATACTCAGCCGTCTATCCATGCATCAAGAAGCAGGAAGTAATCAGCAACCACAAGGATTACATAACTGATTTTGGCAAAACATCATTACAGTTTTAGTTATTTGTGTTAATAAGTCATGATGGCATAAATGGTACAGTCCATCCTAGAAAAAAACAAAACCGTGCGTCCATATATCATCTTAATACAACCAGGAAGTAGCCAGCTACTTAACACTGTGCAATCCCAATTTTTGCGAAATGTCAGAAAATGTTGACACACATTTTTTTATTTTTCCTTATTAAAACAGAAATGTGACAGGGGTACAGTCTATCCCAGAACTCAAAATATCAAAAACGAAACCATCCATCCATATTTCTACACTTACCAGGAAGTAGGCAGTTAAGGGGATACATTCGGGAATCATTCCTAGGAGAAGCCCTGTTTTCCTACAAAGTTGTACAATTCCCTTTGGTGGAAAAAAGAAAAAATCTGTGTTTTTAACATGAGGGCTTCCAAAAGCATTACACTTATTGAAAATGGTTTCATATTGTGATTATTTCTCCTCCCCAGGTCACCATCACTGACCACGGCGTTCCAGCCAAGTCCACCACGGTACGTGTCATCGTGCGCGTGCTGGACGAGAACGACAACCGCCCTCTGTTCCTGGAGAAGATCTACAAGATCAAGCTTCCGGAGCGCGAGCGTACCCCCGAGAAGGAGCGGCCCGCCGCCCGGAGGGACCCCGTGTACCGGGTGGTGGCCTCCGACCGCGACCACGGCGCCAACGCCGAGATCTCGTACAGCGTGGAGGACGGCGATGAGCACGGGAAGTTTTTCATCGAACCCAAGACGGGAGCCGTGTCATCCAAGAAGTTCTCCACGGCGGGGGAGTACGACATCCTCACGGTGAGTTTTTGAAAGTTGCAGACAGGCGTCCTCGCCGTGAGAGTCTCTCAGGGAGCTACGGCACAAGAAAGATTGTCTGAGCTGCCAATCTGCTTGACTCTTTGCATCAGACTAAAAATCGATATGTAGATCACTTCCTGTGTGTCGCCCATACATATGAGATACAAGACCGCATTATGATGTCCACATGCAGTATTTGTTATAACTTCAATGTTACTCTGGGGAGCGTAGTCCTCACTCATCATGACAGTGCAAATATTGGTATTTTTCCATTGCCGTACGAATGTACGAAAAGACAGTTTATAAGAAGAAGAAATCAACATACCCGGGAAACATCTTAAAATTGTCGACTGTCGAAATGTGAAGGCAGTGAAACAGTCCAGCTTCAATAACTAAAAAAAAAAAGTATCAAAGCAATAAAACAGCATCCCTCGACGACGCTAATGCACTCTCGTTACCTGACGGGAACAGATCAAAGCGGTGGACAACGGGCGCCCTCAGAAGTCGTCGACGTGTCGCCTCCACATCGAGTGGATCCCCAAGCCGGAGGTACCGGAGGACGCCGCCCCGCTGGTCTTCGAGGAGTCGCCTTTCTCCTTCTCCGTGATGGAGAGCGACCCCGTGGCGCACATGGTTGGCGTCGTGGCCACCGAGTCGTCGGACGTCCCCGTGTGGTTCGAGATCACAGGTAGCCGCCCCGCTCAAGTGACGTTGTCGTACTTTCTTTAAAAAAAAAAAAAGAGAGATATCCAGCTTTTGTGTGAAATTTATTGGTCCGTTCTTGTGACCAGTGACATCAGCAGGTTGCATCAGAGAGACTGAAAGAGTCACAGAAAGGCATGGATGAGGGCGTCCTGGGAATTTGTTTTTTTTTTTTTTTGTATTTTGCCACTCAGGTCCTTGTTCAACGACAGAAAGTGATGTGAAAAGTACTGAACATTTGAACATCAGAAGTTTCGAGAAGGTCAAATCCGAGTCACCTTTCATGGTTCTGTGCATTTTAGATTTATGTCAAAGTTGCACCCTCCAACTCGTATGAGTCTTCGAGCGGCATCTGCTTTTGAAATACACGAAATAACTCGTAGATTTTGTTGACAGCAACATTAACGGAGTCCATTTTCTTACCTCTAAATCAAGATTGACCTTTCCTGACACCTTTTCTTCTTCTCTTCAACTACTATCCTTTGAATTCTTTCTTTCCTCCCCGGTCCGTTGTTGTGCTTTCAAGGCGGCATAGAGGACACTGAGATGTTTTACGTCCTTCAGATGGCTTGCGACCACAACTGTACAGCAGAAGGTAGCTGCTGAAAAACACGGTGTACACTGTATGCTCAGTCTCGTATCGTACCTCATCTTGGCCCCCACCACTTTGATTTCATTCAAGCGTCATTTGTCTTTTGGTGTTCATTTTCATGCTATCAGTATGCCCTTATCCCCTTTTTCTATTGAGTTGAGTGGATTCTGTTGTCTTACCTTGGGCACGTTTACATGACAACAAAAACAGGACAAAACAATGTAATGTGCATGCCAGGCCCGTAGGGGGCAGTGTCACTTTGTAATGACACACAGCACCACGACAAATGAATTGGTTAGTTTGACATTTTTATTTGGATGGGGGAGAAACTTTTTCAGAGTTTTCCTTAGTCTTTTTCTTTGGAAAGTGCAACAGCAATTGTTTGTCTCTTAATTAAAACAACAACAATAAAAACACGGTTGTCATATAAATGAATGTCCCAATCAGCCCCCTCCCTTTTTTTCCACACCCATTATCAGTACGGTACAATACGTGTTGTTTAAACACCACCTCCCCCGATTATCTTCGCTTCCAGTGTGACACAACTTTCATTTTTTTACATCCACAAGAGTTATCGCAAGATGTTTGTTTGCCCCGTTTCACGCCATGACCGGCGCCGCTTGTCCTTTGTCCAGGTGGAAACTACGACAGCCGCTTCGACGTGGGCAAGGCCAGCGGAACCCTTATTGTGGCGAGGCCGCTGGACGCCGAGCAGAAGTCCAACTACAACCTGACGGTGGAGGCCACAGACGGGACCAGGACGGTTAGCACGCAGGTAGCAAAATTTAGCACGGGAGAGGAAACGGATTCAAGATCTGTATTTATGCATCTGTACGTGACTTGACCACCAACAGTCATATTCAGCCATCTCGGGTAATTAGATTTGCCTAGCGCATAGATAATTAGGTTTGTCTAGTTCTGAGATAATAAAGTTTGCCTGCCAAGTAGTGAAGGTAAGGTGAGGGCAGTGGTTAATCAGTTGTCTGTTGATTATGACGCAAATCAATTCTGTACGAGACTTGCGGTAATGAAAGCTGACATGTTTTAACTGCGCTAATTAGCACACTGCGTCAATTAAAAGGAGAGATTTTTTTTTCCCTGAAATTTGAGGAATAATGGGAATAGAATTAATCTATCCTTGCAGCTGGAATTTCATGATCATCAGACTTGTGTCAAGGTCATATTTAGCGCAACATTTCAGCATTAGCATATAAATTATCATTTGTTTTTGATGATACACCACGACAAAAAAGTTTCTTGTTTTTGTTGAATGATTGTCATTTTTAGCTGTTTTTTTTTTCTTTTTCCGCTAATTACAAAGTAATTTACAGATTAGGGGGAGAAATTGTGAAAATCTTTTGAGGACAGCTTTTGGTGATAACTTTTTTTTTTGGTGTTGTGTGGTTGTCCTTTTTCACAAAATTTGTGACGCAGATCCCAAAACCTGAACAGCGTTTTGGCAGAAATTATGGCATTGAGCATATGTAGCCATAGAAAAAAATTGTGACTACAATTGCTACTTTAATTTCCTGTTCATTTTAAATGTCCAGTAACAAATGAAGGTACATATGTTTGGACCAATATATTCATGACAACAAAAACAGCTCATAAGAATTGAACTAAGTGCTGATCGAGACGAAAATCACTTCTCAATTTTTTTGATAGCTCTAATATTGCTACAAACAATGCTTTTCGGCATGCCATTGTTTCTTTTGTGTCAGTTAATTCCTCGATACACATTTAGTGGCACCGGACATTAAAATGAAGAAATTGAAGAACATATTATAGTCTGTAAGCGCAAAAATAAGCGGTACTAGTCGCTAAGTAGCTGTTCTTAATCCTAAAACTTGGGGGGGAAAGAATACAGTAAATGTGATCTTTGAGTACGACTTTCCCTGATGTCAATGAATATGCAAATGTGCATCTCGTCGCTCGCAGCGACGTGTCTGCGTTTTACTTCAGTTGCCTTTCTCACGGTCACGCCTTGTCTGCGAGATTTTGCACTGTAGCTACATGCTAGTTTCGTGGTGTCTTCCACGGTCCGCCTTTGCAGCCCTTTGTCCTCGGCTGCGAAAGAATCCGTTTGTTGTCGCTGGCCATGAATGCGGCCTTTCATCATCGCGCTGCTGCTGCTTCTTGTTCTTCTTCTTCTGCTGCCTCTGTTGAAGCAGAGCCGAGCCGCCCTCGCTCATCCGCAGCGCGTCCTTTCATTTCGTGCGCCGCTTCTTTTTTTGCTCGCTACTTTCTTAAAAGCCTCGGCGACAGACCTCAACTGGTACTTCAATGACTGGCGCTCATTGGTGAACTTTAGCATTAATTCTTGTCATCGCCTGGACGAGTAAGAGGCAAACTGCTGACGTTTTCCAATTTTATTTTATTTTTCTGTTTCAATTTTTTAATTGACTCACCACAAACATAATTTGTTCCAAGTATTTTTTTTTCCATTGAAATTCTAAAATCATTTTGTGGAAGGAATATTGTCAAAAAGCGCAAATTTACGATTTTTTTTCATCATTGATTGAACACAAAGTCCTAACGAGTAAATAACTAGCTTTAATTGGTGTACTTTTAAACTGTTGTCAGTTTTAAAACTGATCATTTCCTTGACGAATTTAAGGTGAGCTGGAAAACTGAACATTTCTAAATGATGCTGTAGAAGTGAAAACACCCTTCGGAGACGAAAACGTCACACATAAATTAGTACAGTTTGAATCTATGTCTCGAACTTTAATTCAGATTATTTCCTTAAATAATTAAAGGTAATGTGTATGTATGAGACAAATTCCCTTTTCAAGTATCCTTTTGGAGACAAAAAAATCAAACCCTCATCTTTAATGTCGAGCTTTTCTTTGAAGAAAAAAAAAAAATGATGCTGTAGAAGTGAAAACACCCTTAGGAGACGAAAACGTCACACATAAATTAGTACAGTCTACAATCTATGTCTCCAACTTTAATTCAGATTATTTCCTTAAATAATTAAAGGTAATGTGTATGTATGAGACAAATTCCCTTTTCAAGTATCCTTTTGGAGACACAAAAAAATCAAACCCTCATCTTTAATGTCGAGCTTTTCTTTGAAGAAAAAAAAAAGTAAAACGCAGGCAGAGATTAATACATTTTCAAGAGATTTATCATTTTCTTCGCCGTTGACCGAATTGACTTCAACTTTAATTTGGATCGTATCCCGCGCAGATTTAGTCATTGCGTTACCAAAACACACAATCCGTGGATCTCGGTGGGAACCCTTCAGCACACCGCAAAATCGTAAGTCGGTGATGCAAACTTGATTCTGCGCCGACAACATTTGCGTTTTGTTTGCCGTTTGGTCTCGCTGAGTTTGTCTCCAAATGAGTCGGGGTGAGTGGATCACACGCATTCTGCAAAAGGTGACCTCGTGAAGCCGCTCCGGTATCGCATCCTCAAATCAGTCATGTGGAAACTTCGCGAGACTCTTTGGCCTAGTTTCACTCGCTTTCCTCACTTTTTGGACCAATCTGCTTTCACGTGTGTGCCGAGAGATCTTTTCGTTACATGACGGGAAGAGAGGGTGTTAATCCTGTTTTGGGAACATGTGTGTATGCCCTCTGCCAGTGCCCACAACCTGCCACCTGGCGGAGAGGGGGGGTCTCCGTCCTTCCAAAACCAGGCCAAGTTTGGGGTGGACCAGCATTAAAAAAAAAAAAAAAAAATCCCCCCACCGCCCCTGCACCTAACTATTTTCCATTTTCCTTCCTAAAACCGCTTTGCCATGTTTCACGTTGAATCGAAGACGGGAAAGCTCGAAGGCTGTTCACAAAAGGATTTGATTCTGCTTCACAGCCGTAGTACCATTTTGAATGGAAAAATAACCGAACGCTAACATGCTAACCCTGTTCCCATTCCCGTGTTGTTGTTTTTCCTCAACCCTTTTGTTTTCACACCTTTCAAGCAAAAGCATGTGTTTTTCTAAATTTGACCCTTTTTTTTTTCCGCCTTCATCTCATTTCATCCTCACAGCCCCCCCACCCCTACCCGTCCTTCACTGTGGCTCCATCTGTCATATGTACACACAGTCACAGTCACGCCTCCGCACAGCATTCCCCAGAGGAAGCGACACGCGCACACTCATTCACACGCAACGTTAGCATTTCCGTTATTGTTGGTGACGTAGTCGTTTTTGTCGCGGAGTCCTTTTGTCGATGATGTCTGGTTTGCGGTGAGTGAAGTGGTGATTCCGTACGGTAACATATTCCAACAAAGTGGTAATTGGGTCACTTGAAGCAGGTCTATGGCTCTGTGTGTGTGTGTGTGTGTGTGTGTGTGTGTGTGTGTGTGTGTGTGTGTGTGTGTGTGTGCGTGCGTGTGTGTTGTGAGACATCAGGGATCTGCTGCTTTATGATGTCTGGCATGACATGAGAAGACATGCCTGGAATCGCTGCTTAAAGGCGCAGCCATGCAACGCAGGCCCCATTCCTGAGTGGCTCTTTTGAGCAAGAGAGTGTGATGTGAAAGGCCCCCGAAGGAAGAGGCTCGGGAGCCCACCGTCCAGAGGTTTCACAAAATTCAGCCCCCGAGGCCGGCTTTACTCAACAGCAGGATGTTTGGTTGGCAATGAGTAGACACACTGAAAAGTATCAAAATGCCCAAAAATCATTCAAAGGCTGCCATTTTGTTTTGCCGTCTCCATTCGGCGTAAAACACGAAACTCCAAAAAGTGGCCTCCCAGCGACTTGTTTCAACTAGCAATGTGAAATTTAGGAGAATGTCTGTCATGAGCAGAGCCACAAAAAAATTGCATAATTCAACTCGCAAAGCCAGATTTGGTAGACATGTTTAATACGAATAGACCCACCAAAAACATCTTTAAAAAAAATAATGGAGGAATTCTGCTATTTTGGTCCAAAGCCGTAAGTCGACTTAATCCGAGTTTGAAATATATTTCAGCTCTCCATCCCAGATTTACTCAGCAACATGACATTTTACGTGGATCTCTATCAAGAATTAGACCCACAAAAAACTCCTGTGATTCCAAGCCTGAAAAGGCTCAGAAATAAAGCCAGTGTGGTTTGAAGCAGATATTTTATCACACTTTTTTTCATTTATGAAACTCCTTTAAAGACTTCGGCCGCTTGCAATTAAATTTGGACCAGATATACTCGACAGATGGGCAGCATGGAATTGCGAGGGACTCGAATTATCTTTCCTTGAGTGTGGGCAGAGCCAGTTTGATGACTTGCCAGCTTTCGCATTGCGTGGCACTTTGTGATTAGCAGTTGCTGCTCTTGACTCAACACTTAACATCACCACGGCGCCCGATGCCTCCGCTGCGTTGCCGGCATCGCGCCGTGCTATCGCTCCTCTCAGGTTGCGCCCAGAAGTGGCGCTCGGCAAACAGGATCACGACCGATTGTGGTCTGCTCTAAGGTGGAGCAGCACAGCTTTGTCTCTTTTTTTTATTTTGTCCCTACCTCCTTAAGGGATATCAACCCCTGGTGTCTGGTATGCAGGTGTCTAATCGGGCCTGATCCCTTTGTTCCTCATGTTTGGCAACGCTCGAAGCCCCCCTCGCCGCTCACTGGGAAGCAGAGATGGCATTCCAGCAGCTCTTCGTAATCCTCTGTCGGAAGTCCAGCAGACGAGTGGCTGGTGTTGATAAAACACTCTCCCGGTGGAATTTTACAGCTTGGTGGATGATGTTTGGAGTACACAAAAGCAGCACCCTTTTCTTTTTTCCTGATGATCAAAGGCGGAGAGGCACATGTATGGACATTTGAGTCGCAGGTTTTACTTTGTAGCGGGACTTGGGAATGAGTCGAGGCCTTTTATCCCTTCAGATGCATCGTTGCTGTCCGATGAAAAGCATTTTTGTTCTTTTTGTTCTTTTTTTTAAATTTTTTTTTTTTATCCGATTATGACGGAAATCATATGAAAGTTTTGCTTGTTCAGTGATTCACACCCCATCCATCATTTTGACGTGGTGAAGCAGTCATGGAAGGGCCACATTATAGTTACCGTTTCCCTTGGAGGGCCATTATGACGGAAATCATATAAAGAAGTCAAGCATAAAACGGTTTATTCAACTATTGTTGAAGTTACTGTAATGAGGTGTCTGGCAACAAGAAAATGCTTACAATATCTCTCTTATTTATTACATATCAGAATTTGACAATCTTTGTCCATATTTTAGCAAGCATCAGGGAAGTTGCCATGTTTGATTTGCTTTCGCGGGCCACATAAAATGATGTGGCGGGCCAGGTCTGGCCCCCGTGCCTTGACTTTGACACCAGTGATTTAAGACAAGACACTTTCAGTACAACATCATCAAAATGTTCATATGGGATATGAAAACAACACATTTCAGGGGTTGTGAAAACTTGGATTGGAGAACTTAAAATGTTGCTATTTGCACATTTCATTTTAATATTACAATTAAATGCTTGGATATTGATATATTTTGAATCCATTTGACAGCCACGTGTATTTTTATGTATGTAAGTTGCATGCTTTCATTTCATGTCAAAGTTGTAATCTCGTCTATTTAGGGCCAAATTCACAAAGAAAGGCGCGGACAGAACATGTCAACAGCAATATCAGAGTGTTCGTACTTGATTTGCCAGGAATGCCTCGGCCAAACGGCTGACTTGCATGGCCTAAAATTACTTTGTCGACGTGAGTGGGTAATTTAGGACGACATCTCTCGTACATGTCGGAGAGTTCGCTCACGTTGGGCAGATGTCGGCGCACTACTGCTGCCAGGATCCGCAGCAGAGCCTCTGCTTCACTCAAAACTATTAGCGCTGGTGTTAGTGAAGTAGACGTTATCAAGAAGGCGCATTTGCATCGAGGTGGGCAATTTCTCCACCAAATATATGCACATGACACCATTCAAATACAACGCCGGCGCAATAAGACCCGTTCTGTTTTGCAGGGCAGCTAATGACGCCTTTTGCCATCAATGCATGCTTTGTGAATTAGACTCAATCTGTTGGCTCCATTTTTACAGGTCGGCGGCACGCGGAAACCACGCAATCCTTGAGTGAATTCGGCTCATTGTTTTGAAATGATAAAAACTGGAAAAAAAAAGATTATTTTCAAAGCTAAATTACACAAATGACATTTTTTGGGAACGCATCACGTTTCTGTTTGCATTACAGGGTATTTCTTGAGATATTCGTATTTTTTTCATGTAAATGAATTCATGTAATTTATAAAAGGCTATTAGTTCTCTTAAAAGTATTTTAAATGGATTCTTTTATGATGTCATTTGACATCCATCCATTTTCCGATCTGCTTTATCCTCACAAAGGTCGCGGGGGGGGTGCTGGAGCCTATCCCAGCCGTCTTCGGGCAGTTGGCTGGGGACACCCTGAACCGGTTGCCAGCCAACTGCATAATATTAGTTAATTTATTTTTCATATCACTATACTGTATCTCAAAGGCCCTTTTTGAATCTTCAAATGAGGTCTCATATTACCGTTGTCAAGAGTGTGAAAGGATAGTAATTGAAACTGTTGCACACCACTGCTATGTAATTACATTCATTCTGTTGCATGTAATTCTGCCCTCAAGCTTTATGATTCATCTTGCAAAACCCCAAATAACAAAAAAACCTCTGTCATCCCCGTCAGGTGCTCATCCGCGTCATTGATACTAACAACCACCGGCCTCAGTTCTCCCGCGCCAAGTATGAAGTGAGCGTGCCCGAGGATGTACCGGTGGGCACCGAAGTGCTCCACGTGGATGCCACCGACCAGGACGAGAAGAACAAGTTGACTTTCACCCTTCTGAGCAGCACGGACCCATTCAGCCTGAAGAAGTTCAAGTTGGACCCGGGGACGGGGAGGCTGTACACCGCCGAACCGCTAGATCACGAGACCATGCACAGCCACGTTCTCACGGTTATGGTAAGTGTGCATGATGACATTTGGAGGTATAAATAGGGTTGCTGGTATTTCCTAGCCCAATTCTAGAGCACAGACATGGACCCCGATTTAAAAAAGGAGGGTATCATAGGATGTCAATATCCCAACAACCCAATAGGTCATTCAGAATTTGGGATTTCAACATCATTAATTTTATTCTATGTTAATTCGCAGGTACGCGACCAGGATATCCCTGTGAAACGCAACCTGGTGCGCGTGATCGTCAACGTGGAGGATGCCAATGACAACGCGCCGTGGTTCGTTGGCACGCCCTACTCAGGCCGCGTGTTCGAGTCCGCCGCCGTTGGCTCGGCCGTGCTGCAAGTCACGGCTCTGGACAAAGACAAAGGCCGCAATGCGGAAGTCGTCTACAGCATCGAGTCAGGTAATGGTCCCCGAAAATCACTCGTACGCGTGATGTGCTGGTTAAAGTGAACTTCAAAGTGTGGAAATCAAGACTAGCCTTTCCACTTAAAATCAAAGTCTGCCTCGTACCATTAAAACACGCATCGAGAAACAGGCTATCCTTGGATCACTGGTGACAGGCAAATTAGGTAGATTGCAGGAGACGCTAATGTAGAAGTCTATATTTGTAATTTTTCAAACATCAAAGCCATAAGAACAAAATCAAAGTCAGTGTCTACTCAGTGACAGTTTAAAAACAACCGACACTCGACCATTTGATCACAAGTGACAAGTAGCTGGTTAGCTAGCGGAATGCTAACAAAGCAATGTCCATTTTTGCTGTTGTCAAAGACCGAAAAGCTCAATGAAAAATCTGTTGTTCAGAAAAAGCTGCTTGCTCGCAGTAGCGACCTAATAAAGTAAAACTACACTAAACGGACATTGTCAAGATCAAGCTAGTTACGCTGATTTGCTGACTTTCAAACCTCAGAGCAGGTTTGTCATGAAAATTATGTTGCTAAACTACAAATTGTCCAACTCTAAGGCATTTCGACAAAATGAAAGCTTTCATTGTAATCTGCCGATAATGAAGTCATGAGTCAGCCTACTGGATGTTTTTTTTTCATGAATGGAATACTCAGGACCACGTCAAGGGCTTTGTCTGGAGTTTCCAAATATGTCAGCCATTTGATCGACCCCCAGAATTGCCCGCATTTTTTCCGAATAAGCTTCTTAACACATAGCTTTTGTTTGACTTTTGGTGGATTCGTGTCAAGAATGACCCCTACAGTACAATGGTCCTTGACTTGGGAGTTTGATTAGTTCCTTGACCAAGCTCGTAACTCAATTCAGTTGAATATTAATCCAATGCCATTAATGTGTTCTAGCCCCCCGCCCCCCTTTTGCTCACTACATAAAAGAACAAAATTGAGCAAGCGGCATCCAAGTTTGGGGTACTTGTATGTTAAGCTATCATTGCGTTCTATCCGAAAAAGGACTCATTCAAATGATCGTTTTCTTTATTTCTGGCAGGAAATGTGGCAAACTCCTTTGCCGTGGACCCCGTTTTGGGCACCGTCACAGTGGCCAAGGAGCTCAGTCGAAGTGGCAAGACCCGCTTCGAGCTCACTGTCAAGGCGACCGACCGCGGGGCCGCCCCGCTGTCCACCACCGCCGCCGTCTCCATCGCTGTCACTGTCTCGGACAATGCCGCCCCCAGGTTCTCGGAGAAGGTGTTCTCCGCCGACATCAGCGAGTCGGCCGCCCTCGGGAGCTTCGTGAGCTCGTTGGCGGCGGTCAGCCAATCGTCTGTTTTCTACCAAATCAAAAGCGGAAACACGGACAACGCCTTTGACATCAACCCCAACTCCGGTGTGGTGGTCACGCAGAAAGAGCTGGACTACGAGGTGGCCCCGCAGTACAAGCTCGTCGTCCAAGGCACCAACATGGCCGGGCTCGCCAGTAACGCAACCCTGGTGATTCATCTGAAGGATGAAAATGACAACGCCCCCATTTTCCTCCAGCGGGAGTTTGAAGGTGTGGTCAGCGAGTCGGCTGCCATCAACAGCGTTGTCCTCACCCGAGAAAACGCGCCATTTGTCATCCGGGCCTCGGATGCTGACAGCGACCGCAACGCCATGCTGGTTTATCAGATCGTGGAACCCTTTGCCCTCAATTACTTTGCTGTCGACTCTAGCACCGGAGCCGTCAGGATCACAACCACCTTAGATCATGAGCAAAGGAGTGTTTACCGCTTTACGGTGCAGGTCCACGATCTTGGCGTGCCGCGTCTGTTTGCAGAGATGGCGGCCAACGTGACGATCAAGGTCATTGACGTCAACGACTGTCCGCCGGTTTTCAGCCAGGATGTCTATGAGGCAACTGTGGTGCTGCCGACATACAGGGGCGTGGAGGTTGTCAAAGTTAACGCCACCGACTTGGACTCCAGACCCAACGCCAGGCTTCTGTTTTCCATCTCTGAGGGCAACATCGGCGACAAGTTTAAAATGGACGCAAACACCGGGGTGATCTTCATTCAGAACGTCACCCAGCTGAGAAGCAGGTACGAGCTGAAAGTCAGGGTTTCGGATGGAAGATTTGCCAACGTCGCCGCCGTCAAGATCCACTTGAAGGAGAACAAAGCGAGCAAGGTGAAGTTCACCAGAGAGTCCTACAGAGCTTCTGTCCCGGAGAACTTGTCCGAGAGGAGGACGCTGGAAGTCATTGCTGCTGTCGGTAACCATGTAAACGAGCCTCTGTTCTACAAAATCTTAAATCCTGACAAACGCTTTGAAATCGGGAGGACATCCGGGGTGGTTTCGACCACCGGAATAGCGTTTGATCGTGAAAAGGAGGACACGTTTGATGTCGTCGTGGAGGTCACGAAGGAGGACCCATCTGAAGACACTGCCCACGTTGTTTTGACGGTGGCGGTGGAGGACGTCAATGACAACGCGCCTGTCTTTGTGAACCTCCCCTATCGCGCCCTGGTCCAGATGGATGCAGAGGAAGGCCAAGTGGTCCGGCAGGTCACGGCAGTGGACAAGGACCGTGGTCGCAATGCAGAAATCCGTTACGAGCTGAAGGAGTCTCATGAGCATTTTGACATCAACCCCTCTGGAGAAATCACCATCAAGAAGACGCTCGAGAAAGAATCGCTTGACATGGACTTTGTCGTGATTGTTGTGGCGATGGATGGCGGCGATGCAGTACTGTCGTCAGAAGTGGAAGTCCCAATTACAGTGGTGAACCAAGCCGTCCCCATTTTTGAGAAACCCTTTTACAACATAGAAATCCCTGAAAATATCCAGGTGCACACGCCCGTTCTCCACGTGCAGGCCAGTGACTCCGAGGGACCTCGTATTGTATACACCATCTCTGAGGGGGACCCCTTCAAGCAGTTCTCCATTGACTTCAACACGGGGGTCCTTCACGTGGCTCAGCCCCTGGACTTTGAGACGCACCCAGCATATAAATTGAACATCCGGGCTACCGACTCATTGACTGGGGCGCACTCAGATGTATTCGTGGACATCATCCTGGAAGACATCAATGACAACTCCCCAGTGTTTCTGTCAAAGTCCTACTACGCCACGATCTCGGAGGCGTCTGTTATCGGTACATCTGTCCTGCAAGTGGAGGCCAAAGATTTCGACACAGGCCACAATCAGGAAATCTTCTACCAGTTGGTGGAGGAGAAGGGGAAGAGCTCGAATTACTTTGCCATTGACCGCGACACGGGTCTCATCTCGACGGCGCGAGTGCTCGATCACGAGGACGCCCCGCAGCACCATCTCAGGGTCCGCGCAGTGGACGGAGGGGTCCCTGCCCTCTTCGGTGACGTCCTGGTGACAGTGGACATCACAGACCTGAATGACAACGCGCCAATGTTCGCTGAGCCGGCCTACAAGGCAGCCATCAGCGAGTTGGCTTCCCGCGGGCACTTTGTCACCCAAGTCCAAGCCTCGGACGCCGACAGCTCGGACTCAGACAAGCTCGAGTTCGCTATTGTCTCTGGGAACGACGACCAAAGTTTTGCCATCGATAAGCAGACCGGAGCTATCGTTATTTCGAACCACCGTCTCCCACAAATGCAGCCGCTCTACCACCTCAACGTGTCTGTGTCGGACGGCGTGTATCGGAGCTCAGCCCTCGTGGACGTCACTGTCATTGGTGCCAACTTCCACAACCCTGCATTCTCTCAGGTGGAATATGCTGTCGAGCTGGTGGAAAACTCCCCTGCCGGTACCATGGTAGCTGAAGCCAAAGCCACAGATGACGACGACGGCATATATGGGCAAATCACATATCGCATCGTCAACGACGTAGCCAAGGACAAGTTCACGGTCAATGAAAATGGTGATGTCTTCACCTTGGAGAGCCTGGATCGAGACAGCAGCATCGAGAAGGTCATTCCTATCTCTCTAGAGGCCAAAGACGGCGGTGGCAAGGTGGGCTTTTGTACGGTAAACGTGGTCCTCACTGACGTCAATGACAACGCGCCGCAGTTTAGGGCTGCCGAGTACAAAGTCACTATCGCCTCAGATGCCCCGCGGGGTACATCAGTGGTGAAGATCGCCGCCTCTGATGTGGACGAGGGAACCAACGCCGATGTCGAGTACTCAATCGAAGCAGATGTCGAGAATGTGGCAGAGAACTTTGAAATTCACCGCACATCTGGGGTCATCTTAACGAGAGAGAGTCTCATTGGTCTCGAGGGTGAGCTCTATGCCTTTTTCGTCCGGGCGAAGGACACCGGAAACCCGCCGAAGCATTCGGTCGTGCAGGTATACATCCGGATAGTAACGCCTGAGACTCCCATCCCCAAGTTCGCCGAGCCTCATTACCGCTACACAGTGGCTGAAGACCTACCAATCGGCACGGAGATAGATGTGCTCCCGGCTGAGAGCGAGCAGCAACTTACTTACACCCTCGTGAACGGCAACACTCCAGAAAGCAATGAGAATGAGGTCTTCATCGTGGACGGAGACACCGGCGCCCTGAAACTCCAGAAGAGCCTGGACCACGAGACCACCAAGTGGTACCAGCTCACCTTGCGGGCACAAGCTCAGCGAGATGACTTTGACATCGTCGCGTCCGTCAGCATCAACATTCAAGTGAAAGATCTCAACGACAATGAGCCGGTCTTTGAGTCTGACCCTTACCAGGCAGTGGTGGTGGAAAACCTCCCAGGCGGGGCGCAGGTGGTTCAAGTCAAAGCCACTGACCTGGACTCAGGCACCAATGGCCTCGTTCTGTACAGCTTGGACGCCAAACTCAACTCACAGGACATCGTCGAGCTCTTTGCCATCAACGCCGAAACCGGCTGGTTGACCACCCTAAAGGAGCTGGACCGCGAAAAGCGCAACGAGTACACCATCGCCGTCATCGCCACTGATCAGGGCGACAAAGTCCAGCACGCAACGGGCACGCGAGTGGAGGTGACGGTGGCCGATGTCAACGACAACCCACCCCGCTTCACGGCGGAAGTTTACAAGGGAACCGTCAGCGAGGACGACCCGCCGCCCAGCGGCGTCATTGCCATCCTGAGTACCACCGACGAAGACTCGGAGGACATCAACAGACAAGTCAACTACTTCATTACAGGTGAGTTACTGATCGGTTTCGCTGTGGCTATCCGCTAATGCTAATGGGATTTCATGTGAGTAGACTGCGAGGTGGTGTCAGATATTTAAGGCATGCCGGTGTGTCGATTGTAACACCTGACACTCGCTTTTCCTGCCCCATGGTGTTGAAAACCATTGTCAACATTTGACTACTAAACATCACACAAGAATTGTTGTTGGGGTTGTCTGCTTCAGCTAAAGCGGCGATTGCCTTTGATTTCTTCTATTGCTCATTGAAAAATGTCTCCATCTTTAATTATTCATGTAGCTCATAAGCAAAAGTGCATCGTATTTTCATCCAACAGCGGGAGATCCGCTGGGGCAGTTTGCCATTGAGCACATTCAGAATGAGTGGAAAGTGTCCGTCAGGAAGCCTCTGGACCGCGAGACAACGGACTATTATCTTCTCAACGTCACGGCCAGCGACGGCATCTTTACAACCAAAGCCGTGGTGGAAGTCAAAGTGCTGGACGCCAATGACAACAGCCCCGTGTGTGAAAAGGTAAGGCAACTTTAACACAAAATCCCGTCACGCTGTCGTCCAGTCTGACAGTCTTTCATTTGGCGTCCCCCTCAAGTCCCTCTACAGCGAAAGCGTTCCGGAGAACTCGCCAGCCAGCAGACTCATCCTGCAAGTCTCGGCCACCGACGCCGATATCCGATCAAACGCGCAAATCTCCTACGAGCTCAACGGGCCTGGTTCGGAGCTCTTCTTCATTGACTCCGAGACGGGTAGGTCTACTTTATGACAATATGTAATTAGCTCCAGAGCAGCAGGTGGCAAATGGTTTTCCTTTTCGGGGGGTGGGGGGGGCTTCAAAATGCTGAGACTCAGTCAGCTTTGGAAAGTTCAAGAAAATTAGCCCCACTGACACCAGTTTCACCAATCAACCTCAAAATGTCTATCATAATGGGACAACACAAAAGGTCTCAGGCACTCAGGTTTGAAATTGGACAGGTAGTCTGCCATTTTGGTTTCAAGTAACAATTCAATGAAAAATGACCACTTTCTCCTTTCCGTTGCAGTGCACAGATTTTGTTCCCTTCCGCAGTCTCCGCGTGCTCAGATTTGACATTATTAAGTAAATGATGCCGATTTCAAAACTTCAGCATGACACTGAAAGTATGGTGGTCTGTGTTTGATCTTCTGGTTGTGCATCTGGTTATTATAACAATCCTCGTTTACTTGCTGTCCAGTCTACTTGTGAAATTTAAAAAAAAAAAAAAATGCTGATTGTTCCGTTTCATTATCGTTAAAAGTAAGCCTTTGAAATGTTGCCGACTCTGTCGTAACATCTACTTGACACTTTGATAGTATGAGTCGCGTACCGATCATTAGCTATCGTAATAACTCTCGTTTCCTTTCTGTCCAGTCTTCTCAGACCAAAACAAAAAAAAAACTGCTGATCGTTCTGATTTGGTCATGGCAACGTCAGCCTTTGAAATGTTGCCATTCTCGAAGTGAAAATATCGACGCGGCGCTTTGATAGCCTTGTGAAAAATTAGTAGTCTTTTGTGACTCATCCTTAGCTATTGTAACTAGCCTGGTCGATATTGCGGATTCCAAAAAGTGTCAACAAACAAAATTAACCAGACTGATGTCATAACACTGATGTAATTGTTGTTTCTATGCTTCTTTTGCTAACCTTGTCAGGCTGGAGCATAAAAGAAAAATCTAAACATTAGCTCAGTGTATGTTTACATTGATTTGTCACCATAAAAATGCTGTGATCTATTTTATTGAATTGAATTGAATACAACTTTATTGTCAAATGTGCTGTGCGTATGTGTATTGCTCGAACCGCAAAAGAATATTCTTTTAACTAACGGCCTCTTGTGATCTTTTTTTGCAAACTTCAATCTGTCGGGCATTAGGCCAAATGACCTGTCAATCAAAACACCTTTGTGCCCACTTATTTATTTGTTAGTTCATTTTGTGGTTTTTAAAATTGTATTTTTTTGCAACCAGTCAAGACTATTTCCCTTCAAGGCAACAATTGGGGATCGAGGCAGCAGTAAAATCCCAGGTTGCATACTTAGGGTGAATTTATGACTGTGATACCTGTTGCCTGCAAATAATGCCAACTGGCAGCATCCCTAAATCACACACTTTATCTGGCTCCTCTTTTGTGTGCGTGTATTCTTTTTTTTTTTTCCTCTTCAAAATGAAGTTAAAAGCATGAAAGCACATTTCGACTATAAGACATCAAGCCCCCTACATTTAGCTCTGCCGCCCAGGAGGGTCATCATAAAGTTGCCGTTAATGTATAAATCATAGCGTACGAGATGGAGAAAATCTGCTATAAGAGGCACTAATGTTCCCTTTTACTGTGTCAGCGCACTCTTTGGCATTGTGTACCCATCTGGCTTAATTACATGCTTTGGGTGCTTTTTGCATCGCAAGGTGCTGGAAAATGTACATAATTAGGTGGTGTTTTTTTTCTTTCTGAATTCATGCATATATTAGATGACCTTTGTCCATACAGCATGAATAACCGGACTAACTCTGGCTCAGTCTATTCAAGCTTTTTCACTAACTAAAGCTTACGAGATGCTAGCAATCCAAAATCGCTAAATTTTAACGTTTATCCCCTTTGATTGTATTTCAAAAAGTCATGAGTACATAATATTCATTATTGAGGACCTTTTTGATTTGTAAAACGTTTCTTTTTTTGAAGACCAAAAGTGCGTCCTTAACGTGTCCCGTTGTCACTTTCAGGTGAACTGAAGACACTGAAGCCCCTGGACCGCGAGGAGTGCGACGAGTACCGCTTCAAAGTGCGAGCGGTGGATGGCGCCGGGCGCTTCTGCGAGGCCAACGTGCACGTGTCCGTGCGTGACGTCAACGACAACGCACCCGAGTTCGCCGCCGACCCGTACGCCATCACCGTCTTCGAGAACACCGAGACGGGAACCTTCGTGGCTAAGCTGCAGGCCGACGACGCCGACAGCGGTGAGCGATTATTCTCTCTCTTCCCATTAGACTGTGAAAATGTCACATTATTGTCAAAGTTGGCGGTGTGTTGAGTATGTCTTTCGGGGGGGCTGCCAGGTCTAAATGGCGACGTGGTCTACTCGCTGCTGGATTCTGCCGACGGCTGGTTCGCCATCGACGAACTGAGCGGCATCATCAGCCTAGAACGACCGCTGGACCGCGAGGCGCGCGCCCTGTACGAGCTGGAGGCCCGCGCAGCCGAAACCCGCCCTGTGGGCGACGGGCCGCGTGCGGGTCTCTGTGCTGGACATCAACGACAACCCGCCCGTGTTCGAACGGCGAGAGTACGCCGCCGCCGTGCCCGAGGACGCGGCTGTGGGCGGACAAGTGCTCAGGGTCCAGGCCGCCAGCCGAGACGTGGAGGCCAGCGGGGAGATCGCATATAGCATCGTCAGCGGAAACGAGCACGGGGCATTCAGCGTGGATCCGAGCACGGGTATGGGACCAAACTAATTCTGGAGTTGTAGTCACACAATTTCACAGATTATTTTTTCTATGATTTACACCTCTGTTAGTTTTGCCTCCTATTTATTTTGGGTGTAATTCAACTGTCAGCCACTACATGGCGGCATGTTTGAAAACAAATAATTCCTACCGTTTAAAAGGAAATGTACTGTCCCATTTCAATGCAAATCTGGGGGGGAGGGGTACAAAATTGAGAGAACATGTAAAAATATTAAAACATATGTCTCTAGAGAAAAAAAATCTGGAAAAAATAATCCCAAATACTATGTGGTCTTTGAGGTTTACATGAACTCGTACGCGAGCTTCATTGAAGATTCTACATTGTCTCTGACCCAAATTCATACGTTCTGTTCATTCGCGACTCTAAATTGTGTGAAAATGGTCACGAGGCGTGAAGGGCTGCCGTGATTGACAGCTGATCGTCAAAAAATGTTATCCTGCGTTCCTCAGGCGACATCTTTGTGATCGCGCCGCTGGAATACGAGTTGTCTCACGAGTTCTACATCACTGTGGAGGCCACCGACGGGGGCTCGCCGCCCCTCAGCGACATGGCCACCGTCAACATCAACGTGACCGAAGTCAACGACAACGCGCCCGTCTTCAGCCAGCGCGTCTACGCCGCCGTCGTCGGCGAAGACGCCGAGCTGGGCAAGACTGTCTTGACGGTGAGACCAGCTTCAAAGAATGGACGCTTCCCGTTTCAAGGCTGTTTGACAGGAAATGATGCGATGTATAAATACAATCAATCCATTTAGACCAAAGCAGCGGATGCCGGATATGAACGCTGCGCTTTTGTTTTGATTCTCAGGTGATGGCCGAGGATGCAGACGGGCCGTCGTACAACCGCGTGCGCTACGCCGTCATGGACGGCAACGGCGGACCCCATACGAGGCGAGCTCAAAGTGGCCCGGCAGCTGGACCGGGAACAGGTGAATATGACACCAACTTGTCTTTGAAGTTAAGAAACTGCGTTCTCTGTTGTCCTTGATGTTTTGGAAATTGTACTCTCCCAAGGTTCTCTTTGATATATACAAAACCACGATACGTTGGCGTCGTCAGAGACTAGATTGTCTTTGATGTTGACAAAAACATGCTAGCATCTTGAAGACTATAGAGTGATTGTGTTTGTTGACTGAAATGCATAAAGTAATCTAAGGCACACGATTGTCTTTGATGTGTAGGAAATCTTTAATGTCTTTGATGTTGGATTTTGGAGGTGTATAATAACCAGATGGTCTTACGTCCTAAAAATTGTTGAGGAGTCTTTGTCTTTGATGTTTCGGAAATGCGTGTTAGTCATATCGACCCCATACGAGGCGAGCTCAAAGTGGCCCGGCAGCTGGACCGGGAACAGGTGAATATGACACCAACTTGTCTTTGAGGTTAAGAAACGGAGTTCTCTGTTGTCTTTGATGTTTTGGAAATTGTACTCTACCAAGGTTCTCTTTGCTATATACAAAACCACGATACATTGGCGTCGTCAGAGACTAGATTGTCTTTGATGTTGGCAAAAACATGCTAGCATCGTTGAAGACGATCGAGTGATTGTGTTTGTTTACTGAAATGTGTAAAGTAATCTAAGGCATGCGATTGTCTTTGATGTGTAGGAAATCTTTAATGTCTTTGATGTTGGATTTTGGAGGTGTATAATAACCAGATGGTCTTACGTCCTAAAAATTGTTGAGGAGTCTTTGTCTTTGATGTTTCGGAAATGCGTGTTCGTCATTTAAGACACTAAATTGTCTTTCATGTTTGTGAAAATTATTTCTTTGCTTACAAACCATTTACGTGAGGATCATTTTTCCATGATGGCTTTGATGTTGACAAAAAAGTATCTCACAATTACTGAAGAATTTACAATGTCTTTGAAGTTTAGAGAAGTATTTATGTTAGGCCCAATTTAGACATGAAAGTCTTTGATGTTTAGGAAAACATGCAAATCGCATATATTAGGGTCATTTGGACTAGCGTGTCCTTGATGTTAACGAAAACATATTTTGGGGTCTTTATAGATTCAAGATTTGTTTTTTATGTCTACAAACTGTTTTCTTTATTGCGTTGGCGAGATACGGCCTTTAAAATAAAATTACACTTTTTTTTTCCTTCACAAAAATATGGTTTGCGATTTTAATCCATGTTTTACTTCCCGCGCCTTTACAAAGAAAAAGCAGCATGAAAAAAATGCTGGACGCGTGCGTGTGCTTTTTCATGTTGGGCATTTCAATCAATGCATGACAACGCTGTTCTCCAGACGTCGGGCTACACGCTGACGGTGCTGGCCGTGGACAGCGGGACGCCGCCGCTGTCGGGCAGCGCCGTGGTCAACGTGGACATCTCCGACGTCAACGACAACCCACCGCTCTTCTCCCAGGCCAACTACAGTCTCATCATCCAGGTAAAATACTTGAAGCAGATGCGAACGCTGGAGGCGTGAAAGAAGGAAACAGCCGTGTCTTGAGATTGAGTTTAATTCGTTCCTTGACCATATTTGAGACTAAAAATACTTGTAGTTCAAATCTTCTGACCATTAAAAATGAATGGAAGTTATTAAACAGTTTCAGGGCTACAATTTTAATAATCGGTTGACCTGTTTGACGATTAATCGATGATTCTACGTTTTAATTGCTGGACGCGTGCGTGTGCTTTTGGCATTTCAATCAACGCATGACAACGCTGTTCTCCAGACCTCGGGCTACACGCTGACGGTGCTGGCCGTGGACAGCGGGACGCCGCCGCTGTCGGGCAGCGCCGTGGTCAACGTGGACATCTCCGACGTCAACGACAACCCACCGCTCTTCTCCCAGGCCAACTACAGTCTCATCATCCAGGTAAAATACTTGAAGCAGATGCGAACGCTGGAGGCGTGAAAGAAGGAAACAGCCGTGTCTTGAGATTGAGTTTAATTCGTTCCTTGACCATATTTGAGACTAAAAATACTTGTAGTTCAAATCCTCTGACCATAAAAATGAATGGAAGTTATTAAACAGTTTCAAGGCTACAATTTTAATAATCGATTGACCTGTTTGACGATTAATCGATGATTCTACGTTTTAATTTCCATCCATATGTTCAAAAACAGGATTTTTTTTCGAATTGACATTGCAGAAAATGCAAAACGTTTTTTTTTTTTTCAATAAATTGATTCCTGGTTTGGGTCCGTTACTATAATTAAATACAATTCAAAGCAATGAAACCGTTTTTGTCACACTTTCTGCTTATTGTGCTGCTCATTTTGGTGTATTCACCTCGGCCACCTGGGGGCAGTACAAGAAATACATACGTCGTCTCTCGGCTTCTCAGCGCAGCAGTAATACTCGTCCGTTTTTGCGGAGGATAAAGAATATATCCCTGTGATGCGACTCTGACCATAAAAATGAATGGAAGTTATTAAACAGTTTCAAGGCTACAATTTTAATAATCGATTGACCTGTTTGACGATTAATCGATGATTCTACGTTTTAATTTCCATCCATATGTTCAAAAACTGGATTTTTTTTCAAATTGACATTGCAGAAAATGTAAAACGTTTTTTTTTCAATAAATTGATTCCTGGTTTGGGTCCATTACATATATAATTAAATACAATTCAAAGCAACGAAACCGTTTTTGTCACACTTTCTGCTTATTGTGCTGCTCATTTTGGTGTATTCACCTCGGCCACCTGGGGGGGCAGTACAAGAAATACATTCGTCGTCTCTCGGCTTCTCAGTGCAGCAGAAATACTCGTCCGTTTTTGCGGAGGATAAAGAATATATCCCTGTGATGCGAGTGGACCATCACACATGGATTCACGTATTTTTACTGTTTTAGTTTGACAGTAGTCTTCAGCTGAGTGCGGCAATAAACAGCTGGTAGTCTCTCTCTGGAAGAATATTGACGAACTTTGTCTGCCAAGCTAGCGCTTCTTGTAACGTGAGGTGGGCTGAGTTCACCGCCTCCAAAACAGTGCTGGGAAATGGCCGGCTTGTGAAAGATGAATTGTGATAATGCGGGACTTGACTATATTTGCCACAATTCCCGGTTATCACGGTTGCATCACTTGATTCCCACCTCAAGGTGGCTCTCATCCGTTGTTGTCTCTGCCGCAGGAGAACCAAGCTCAGGGCACCAGCGTTCTCCAGCTCCTGGTGTCGGACCGTGACGCCTCCCACAACGGGCCGCCCTTTGCCTTCTCCATCGCCGGCGGCGATGCGGCCCACGCGTTCCATATTGACCCGCACGGAGCACTGCTCTTGGCGGGGCCTCTTAGCAAGAGAGCCAAGGAACACTACCTGCTTCAAGCTCAGGTCAGATTCGATTGATTCTGTCTTGCGCTGACTCATCCGTTCTCAGTCTGCGTCGACTTCTTGTTACTGTTTCTAGTTTTATTTTTTTGTTTTGGGGCTATGTAGCCTACAAGATGTTATAAAGTATGCACCTGAGACAAGTACAGTATAACAACACTAAGGTTGTGATGTCAAGAAAAAGGAGACAACTTAACAGAACAAAGGAATTGAACTGACTTGCGATGAGGAAAAATGTGACATGTAGCGAGCGATCAGTCGAACACGGAACGTCCATCTGTGATCAAGTTGCGAGCAGTAAAAGCGAGTGACTCGAGTGGGCTGGATTGTGTGCCAAAGGACAGAATGAGAAGATGGAATGATGAAACGGAGGTGTGATGTCTTTTCGGACGTTGCTGTTGAATCAGCAGTTTTCCTTCCAACTGTGTTGTTTGACCATCTGTGTGTGTATCATGCCAGGTTGTGATGTCAAGAAAAAGGGAGACAACCTAACAGAACAAAGGAATTGAACTGACTTGCTTGCGATGAGGAAGAATGTGACATGTAGCGAGCGATCAGTCGAACACGGAACGTCCATCTGTGATCAAGTTGCGAGCAGTAAAAGCGAGTGACTCGAGTGGGCTGGATTGTGTGCCAAAGGACAGAATGAGAAGATGGAATGATGAAACGGAGGTGTGATGTCTTTTCGGACGTTGCTGTTGAATCAGCAGTTTTCCTTCCAACTGTGTTGTTTGACCATCTGTGTGTGTATCATGCATACACGTATCAGGGTCTCATGGGGTCCAATGCTTCACGAATGCCACCAGTGCCCTCTGCTGGTTTTAGATAGTACAACAACAAACAAATTCGGGATTCCTGCTGATCTTGAACTCATTCAGTGCCAGCCAATTCTAGACCAAGTCTGAAAAGACGTTTAAAAACGTCTTTGGGAGTGAATGAGTCAAAAAGTCTTAAGAGACATTGAATGCGTCGTATAAAAGCACAATACAGGAGAATGTCAAGAAATGGACTCTGATCAATTTTATTCACCGTGATGTCCAGTGGTGCCTCAATGTACGGGTGGCCGGCATGTCAATCCAAAACCAAAAGCAGTCGACTTTGTTTCTGAATGCAACGTTTGGCTTCCAGGTGTCCGACAGCGGCAAGCCGGCGCTCACCTCCAGCGCCTTCATCAGCGTCCGCGTCATCGAGGAGAGCGTCTACCCGCCCGCCATCCTCCCGCTTGACATCTTCGTGTCCACCGCCGACGATGAGTACGCGGGCGGCGTCCTGGGCAAAATCCACGCCACCGACCAGGACGTCTACGACACGCTGACGTACAGCCTGGCCCCGTCCTCCGCTGCGGCTTCGGCGTCCTTCTCGGTGTCGGCGTCGGACGGGAAAGTGATCGCCCTGCGGCCGCTGGACCCCGGTCACTACCCGCTCAACGTGACGGTGACAGACGGGCGCTTCACGGCGGCCGCCGACGTCAACGTGCACGTGCGGCAGGCGGCCCGCCAGGCCCTGGACAACTCCATCGCCGTGCGCTTCGCCAGTATCGCCCCCGAGGAGTTCATCGGAGACTACTGGCGGAACTTCCAAAGGGCGCTGAGGAACATCGCCGGCGTGAGGAGAAACGACGTGCAGCTGGTCAGCCTGCAGCCATCTGAGCAGGGAGACCTCGATGTGCTGCTGGCGCTGGAAAGATCCGGAAGTCCCTACCAGTCGCAGGAGGTGAAATAGCTTTCATTCTGATCGAGTCATTTGATAAGACGGAAGAGGAGAAATGACTAAAATAAATTTTTACTTGTGCCTCTAAAATTTTAGGTTTGGGGCCTCTCTCCTCCTTATTAAAAAAAAAAAAAATTAGTCTGGAGCTCAGTTCTCAGTTTGACAAGTCAACTTTTATTTTATTTCGAATACATTTGTCATCTTTTCAACCTAAGAATTTTGCAGCGAAAACTCAGTTTTCTAGATTTTTTTTTTCAGGCATTTTTCCAAATAAAAATTCGGGGGAATATTTTTTCCCTATATTACAATAATATACTTTTTTTTTATCCTATAAGAGTCATATTTGGTGGGGGGGTTAGTGAGCATAAAAATATTTTTATTTCGATTAATTTATTATTTCATCAAATAAAATAATCTGACATGATTTTTTTTTTTTTTTTTTACAGTTTTTGGAATACTTTTTTTCTTACAGGATTGGGGAGGGTATAGATTTTATTTTGTGATTTTAGAGTCAATTTTTCTAAATAAAAGTATAATTTGAATTAATAAAATAATAAATAAAATTTTAAAAATTAAAATACAATTATACATCTTCTGATGAAATGTAAAAGAAAGATTCTTCATTTGACTATTAGAGTAAGATTTTTACTTTTTTTTTTGTTAAAAAAATTATTTTTGAAACAAGAAACCTTAATCCTGCCTTCCATCTTTTCACGCCTTGTCTTTTGTTCCCCAGGTGGTGTTCCGTAAGCTGAACTCATCAGCGGGCGTTATCGAGGAGATGACGGGGGTGCGTATTGTGCGCGTGGCTCAGAAGCTCTGCTCGGGCATGGACTGCCCGCTGCGCTTCTGCGATGAGGTGGTCTCGCTGGACAGGACGTCCATGTCCACCTACAGCACCGCACGCCTCAGCTTCGTCACGCCCAGACACCACAGACATGCCAGCTGCCAGTGTCAAGGTCACGCACACACACACACACACACACACGCGCGCGCACACAGAATGGAAAATGGCACAGACCACATGTATGACATCACCATTTGCCCTGGCGCCCTGCAGGTGGCAATTGTCCCGTGCTGAACAGCGTGTGTGACAACAGCCCTTGTCCGGAGGGCTTGGACTGTGCGGCCGACGCGCACAGAGACACCAAGTACACGTGTGTGTGTCCTCAAGGGACCACAAGCAAATGTACTGGTACGATAACACTCTCAAAATCCCAACCGGAAATCTTCGGAGAATAAAGTTTAGCTCTTGGCTCCCTAATTGTAACTCTAGCCCCTAATTCCCGCCCTTGTCATTCTGTTCAGATGGCCATTCGTTGACATTCAGCGGCAGTGGCTACGTGAAGTACCACCTGATGGAGAACGACAACAAGGAGCAGATGAAGCTGTCCATGCGCCTGCGCACCTTTTCTGGACACGCCACCGTCATGTTCGCCAAGGGCACCGACTACAGCATCCTCGAGGTGCGTTCGTGGCACCGCAGTTCGAAATCGAGAGGCACGCGCGGATGTCGGTGGCCATCTCACAGCTCAAAATGCCCGTCTAAAAATGGGCCGTTCGCATGGGGAACCATGGGAATGGGCTGGTGGGTTGGAAAAATAAAAGAAGTTATTTTCAGGCTGGGAGGGAAGCACGGAGCACTTTTCCACACATTCCACAATAGGACAGGCCAGACTCCATAGGGAACATGTTCGATTTCAGGAAAAGCTTTGAAGGATGTCACAATGCCACATGCACGTATGACACTGATGGACAATGTCTGCAAAATTATTGAGACACCTTCAGGAAGTTGCGGGAGGGGACACAATGGTGGCAGGTTTTTAATGAGTTCTTCAATGCAATCTCTTATTCTCTGGTTGGGGACTCTGATGTGCCACAATCCATCGGAAAACTTATTGTTTTAAGAAAAATCATGAAGATATTGCATTAGGTTCTGCATCAAGTCATGATTAACTTTGGGGCTAAAAAAAAAAAAAAAAATAGGCTTTTTTTTTCTCCTTTTTTTAAGTGCTCAATAAGTACAGTTGAGTTGATTACATTGTTATGAAAGCTTGCATGCCAGACTCCAGGCCGAAAAGGTTCAATTTAAGGAAAATCCTGAGACGATGTCACAATGCAAAATGTATGTTCTAAATGGAGTCAAGATTCATGCCAGGCAGTTAATTGGCACACTGTCGGCAAAAAAATTGGGACACTTGGCCACTTAGGAAGTGGAAAATTTTACCTAAGACCTCCTCTTGGTTTCTGTCCTACAGATCGTGAACGGTCGCCTGCAGTACAAGTTTGACTGCGGCAGCGGCCCCGGTCTGGTGTCGGTCCACAGCGCCACGGTGAACGACGGCGAGTGGCACTCGGTCTCCTTGGAGGTGGACGGCAACTATGCCAAGCTGGTGCTGGACCGCGTGCACGCCGCCTCGGGGACGGCGCCGGGCACCCTGCGCACTCTCAACCTGGACAACAGCGTCTACTTCGGCGGCCACGTCCGCCAGCACGCCGCCTCGGCCGCCCGCCTCGGACGCAACCTGCCCGTGGCCAATGGCTTCCGTGGCTGCATGGAGGCCATCGCGCTCAACGGCCAGGAGCTGCCTCTCAACACCAAGGCGCGCCGGGCGCACGCTGTCATGGAGGCCATCGAGGACGTGGCGCCGGGTTGCGCGCTCACCCCGCCAGAGAGTTGCTCCAGCAATCCCTGCAGCAACGGGGGCGTGTGCACCCCCAGGCCGAGTGGAGGTATGTCGAGCTAAACTCTCCCAATGACTTTTAAACAAAAAAAAAAAAAAAAGCACATTTTGTGAAATGGTATCCAGAACATGACAATGCTATGGACGACAGGGGCGACAGCTTTTATGCACCTTTTGTCTCACTGACATAAGGGAAATAAATGTTGATTTTCAGGAAAATCTTGACAAAATATTATTAATAGCGGGGGCTGGGGGGGGGGGCAGTCGACTAATTCGAACACAAAAATATGTTGACGCGATGTGTTGCCCCAAAGCTTCACTGGCACTGTGATGGCAGATAAACATTTAGTCTTTTATAGTCTATGAGCACCCTCTGTTGGTGGAAAGTTGATACTGCAGGCAAGCAATGAACCACAGTGACCAAATCTTTCCAAGCCAGGTAGCTGATTGGCTCACCTATCCATTATCTGAACCGCTTATCTTCACTTGGGACATCTGGCTGCTCAAGAAGTACAAATGAAATCAATCGAAGTTTTTTTTTGGGGGGGGGGGGGGGTGTTTCACCCATAAAAAAATAATAGTGCCTGGTAGGAAATTGTGCATACCAGCCTCCATTGGGACAACACAGAATTAAAGGAAATTCTGGAGAAGAAATTACAGGGAACAGGCAGATGATTTGGCACAGTGTTTGCAAAAGTATCGGAACCCCTGGTCATTCAGGAAATGAAACTTCCGTCGTTATCCGTGGCGGGCACTCTCCAAGCAGTACATCCAGTCACACTAATAGGAGTGTGTCGGGTTAATGTGCCGGTTATGCACACTCGACATTTTAAAGGGGTCGTAATCCTTCGTCAGCCGCTTGAATCATCCGATGCTTTCGCCATCGGCCTAATTAAACAAAAAGCGCACGCTAAGCAGCAGTGAACATTTGAGTGAATGAACGAGCTTAGCCCGAGGGGAGATCATCGGCGCGTTCAAAGAAGGGGAGAAAAAAAATGCTGATTGCGGTCTTCTCGGACTTCCTCAGGCTACTTCTGCAAGTGTCCCGCTTCTTTTATGGGCGCTCACTGCGAGATGGCCATCAGCCCATGCGCCTCCAACCCGTGTTTGTACGGGGGCACTTGCGTTCCCCGGGGGGACGACTTCTACTGCCAGTGCAGAGGACAGTACTCCGGACAAAGGTAAAAAAAAAAAAAAAACGTGTGATATCTGGAGCAGTATCATCTTTTGCTGCAGAATTCATATGTGTTACATTTGGACCGCAGGTGCCAGATGGGTCCCTTTTGCACGGACAACCCGTGTAAGAACAACGGCAAGTGTATCGACAGTCTGGACGGGCCGGTGTGCGAATGCGAAGCTGGTTTCCACGGAGACCGGTATGTAAAATATGACGTCCAAAAAATATCAGGACATAACTCTTTCTTAAAATTGGAAAAAAATTCATCAGATTTTAGCGCATTTTGTTTTTCACATTATTACAACATAAGACAAAGATAATCGCATTGAAATGCTTTCCCCCCTCAATTTGAGTTATTTCTTTAGTTTTTGTGAATGATAATAACCTTGCTAAGGCTCGATCCAAAAGGTCGCGAACCGCTGCAAGGGAATCTGTTCAATTCAAGGACGACTTTGTGACATTTTGCACATCGTCAGCATGCACTCGAAACAAATACAAGCGCGTGATGATGTTCAAATGCGGACTCAAAAGTTTTCCCGGCGCAGGTGCCTGAGCGATGTGGACGAGTGCTCGAGGAGCCCGTGCTCCAACGGCGGCCAGTGCCACAACACGTACGGCTCCTACAAGTGCAACTGCTCGCTGGGCTTCGCCGGTCCCACGTGCGAGCTCGCCGCCGACGTCCGCAATGACTTCGTATCCACCTCTTGGAACATCGGCCTGGAGGAGGTGGTGGGCATCGTGATCTTCGTCTCCAGCATCTTCATCCTGGTGCTCTTCTTCGTCATCCTGCGCAAAAAGGCGTGCCGCGCCAAGTCCAAGACGGAGGACGACGATAAGCGAGGCGGTTCCGGCGTGCCGCACTCCTTCCTCCAGAGGCCCTACTTCGACGCCAAGTTCAACAAGAACGTCTACTCGGACATCCCGCCGCAGGTGCCCGTGCGGCCCATCTCTTACACGCCCAGCATCCCCAGCGACTCGCGCAACAACCTGGACCGCAACTCCTTCGAGGGCTCAGCCATCCCGGAGCACCCCGAGTTCAGCACCTTCAACCCGGACGCCGTGCACGGCCACCGCAAGACGGTGGCCGTGTGCAGCGTGGCGCCCAATCTGCCGCCGCCGCCCCCCTCCAACTCCGTGTCGGACAGCGACTCCATCCAGAAGCCCAGCTGGGATTACGACTACGACGGTGAGTTTGGAGGCCACCGTTGTCATGCTGGATGCACACATGTATGGTTATGGAAACCCTTTTCTCATCTAAAAAGAACAACAGTTCGTACATAGATACATTTTATATCTCATATGTATGCCATAAACGTTATTTGTGTTTCTTAAATCTGTATTCGGAGGAGAAAATTTATGTTCCAGGAAAAGGAATGAAAATCAATCAATTTAATTTGTCAGTATCTTTTTGATTCGTGTTTCCGATTTAAAAATCAACAACAAACTCCAAAATTTGGGGCAAAACTTATTTATTTATTTACCGTATTTTCACAACCATTCGGCGCACCGTATTGTTGGGCGCAGTCTCACTAACGGGTGCTATTTTGGTATTTTACACATAGACAAAACGCACTGTATTATTGGGCGCAGTTTTACAGTGGTAAAACATACGCCAGCTAAAACATACGGCATGCGTTGCGTGCACGCACGCTAAAAACACGTTAGCTTGAAGCATACGGTAGCATGCTAAGACATACGGATACAGGCTAAAAACACGTTTTTAAAAAGGCAACGGAAGCAAAACTGAGTTCGGTTGCATTTTATTTAGCCAGCTTACAATGTACTCCCGTTTTTTGATCAATCAAAAAACGTGAGTACACAGTCGAACAAACGTGAGTACACAGTCGAATGGTGACTGTGGAGACGCTTCTGCCGGCTGCTCTTTGATCAACAATCCACCGCTCCAGTTGGTCTTCCAACGCGGGCCACCTCGCCTTCTGTCCACGGAAACTCAGCTTCGTCATTTTGACTTGGCGAAGCTCGTTCTCCTGCTTCCTCCATTTGCGAACCATGGATTCGTTGAC